CAACATTTATGCTAACATCTCAACGTAATATAAACAGAAGTAATTATTAATGCATCTTCTCCGTGTATAGAACGATTTAGCGGTTTAGTTTTGTACATAATGATTGAAACAATTTACAATAATTATGTATTACTACGTAACCGCGGTTGGAATTAATTAAACTACATTTTTTCCCTGTCGTAGTTAAATTGTTTTTCATTCTCCTGCAATAATATTCTGACCCTTATTGATCCTCAATACCTGAAATTCGTGAAAGGAATTTTCATCTTCTACAATTACAAGGTAATAGAACGAATTGTAGGATTTGAAGAAAACGAAGACAGCCCAAGATGGAAGGCTGGAGGAAGCATTACATTTTCGTATTCATCATCGCCCGATACGGATAACCTCAAAATCGCGTACCGCTCTACTAAGTCGGCCATCTTGGACTTTCGTGAGGTTGCTGGCGTTCGGGACGTCGACGAAAGTGTATCTACCCTTCTGCACTTTTCAAGAAAAGTGTAGTACCCTCGTTACCCTCGAGTGTAGAAAGTGCAGTCAACGCGAACAAACCTATAGCCAAATCAGTCCATACATCCTCCGTCCATGGTTTCAACGGCTCATCCGAAACTTCTTTCCGATTGGTGCAAAACGGCGAAGGTCGATCTTTATCGCCCTACAAGATGGCAACCGACCTTCGCCACCGACGGCCGTATTCGTGATCGCTATACAATACGTCGTAGAAATCAATTCGTAATTTTATATGTGTGTGTATATATATGTACGTGTGAAAAGTTATGCGCGTGTTGCCCCTTAAGGTTGATTCCGAGGAAGATGCGTTTGACCACGTCTCCATTGCACATCTAAATCCGGGATTTATCGGGTCCGGATCCAGTAAATCGCACGTCTTCATCGCATTAATAAATACGCAGATTCGGTTCTGAGCATCTCGATTGACACTTAAACTCGGATTTACTGGGTTTGGACCCGATAAATCCTAAATTTCGAGTATAACGGAGACGTAGTCTTTAGAACACGGTCGTATATAAAGGTCTGGAAACTTCGCCACATTTTCGGTGGTGAAGACGATCAGTTTTTGGAGCGATTTTTGGTTCTTAAAACTGCCACCACGAGACAGGGCGGCACGATAAGGTTGTATCAAACGTAACCTTAAAAAACCTTCCGCATATGAGCACAAAAAAGACAGAGCAACGATATATTTCCGTCTGTTTCGCATACCTTGCCTTACCACAGCGACTCTGGAGGTCTATTTTGTAACTACTAACGGCATATGTCGTTATCGTTAGCCCGTGTTATTCTAATGGGCTAACGATAACGATATCTAGCGTTAAGAGTTCACGAATAGGCCCTCTGGTGGGCAAACGACGAATGAAAAAAGACAGAAAGATATATTTCTCTGTTCTGCAAACCTTGCCCCACCGCGGCGCCTCAGGAAGCTTATCTTGTAACTACTAACGGCATATGTCATTATCATTAGCCCGTGTTATTCTAATGGGCTAACGATAACGATATCTGGCGTTACGAGTTCAAGAATAGGTCCTCTGGTGGGCAAACTTTGAATGAAAATCGCCTACGAAAATTGCTTGTACCCTTCCTTAGCAGTTTCCAGACCTGTTTACACGGCTACGGATTAGAACGCTGGTTTGGGTGATTCGAACATCACTTTGGCCGTTATAAATGGACTCTAAAGATGTTCGGGTCACTCTAAATGTCTTTTGGAACACGCCTACGAAAATTCCGGGTAATCGACAGGAGCCAAAGGTAGAGAATCTGGCTGTCGAGTTCTCGTTTCCCCAATGGCCACTGTCGATCCGCTCTCCTGCATCTGTGCCACCGAGACTCTAGACCAACTAGATAGCTGATCCCTAATTCAAGACCGAATTGAAGGCACACCAGCACCATTGAATATGAGCCGCGGTACTAAGTAACGTGTGCGCATGAGCAAAAGGAGCTGCAGTGGTCTCAAGTTTAGGAGTAAACATGTAGATACTTAAGTTAAAAGTAAAGCGCTGCTTTCGGCGCATGAGCAAATACTACGATATTAGTTCGCGAACCCATTCTCTAAGGTGTTGTTGTCGCTTCCAATCGCCACGCCATCTTGTGGGGTATCAGCTATCCAGCTAGGCCGATATTTCATTGGCGCGACAGAATTTTCGTCGCTTAAATGGAATAAGCCTGTACTAAACAGTATTAGGGCATGCGACGTCGCAAGAAGATTCGAAATTCTGGACTTCCGTTCTCTAAAAACCGCAAAACAAGAAAGTTCTCCCACTCCGCTGTTTCCTCGCAGCGAATAAAAACCTCTTATTTGCTCCGCCGCACTCCGTCGCGCGACGCCGTCGAAGAAATAAAATATCGGCCTCAGTACAGAGATCAGTATAAAGATCGCTACAGTACCTTAACTATAGTTATAGTACCTTAACTATAGCTATAGTACTATAGCTATAGTTATAGTACCTTAACAAACTACCTTAAGGCGTGTTCGACACCGTGAATACAGTCACAAGAGGTTCCGTAAAGTTCCTGCACTGCAGGGTGTTGCGACGAGGATGTGCTTGTCAGAAGCTTCTTTCCGATTGGCGCAGAATGACAAAGGCCGATCCTGATTGGCCGAAAACGGTGGGGTCGCAAGATGGCTACCGACCTTCATCACTGACGGTGAATTTATGGCGTATTAACGGAACCGAAGCAATTTCAAAAGAAGTTACGTTTTGGAAGCTCGCTTGAATTAATCGGATTTCTTCCTCGCCTCGTCGAATTACTGTAAAACTGAGCGATATACACAGGATTACAGTAAAGGGTTCTAACAGAGGTTCCGACGTGATAAAAAGAGCCATACATCAGTAGCTAATGAATTATGGACGTAAGAATATATGGTCGGAGCCCAATGTCCCATCTTAGACCAGGGGAAAGTCTGCGCGTGGGGAAGGAAGAAGTAGGGCGGCCATATTGGTCAGCCAATTTTTTAGCCTCCTGGTAGTCCACCTTCATATCCCTATTTGCTCAAACTCATTTCTTCTTGCCACTCCTAGAAGTAAAACGTAATTTTTACACTTCTTTATGCTACAAGTGCCATATTGTACTTCGTTTGCTATTTATCTGTCCACAGTTCGCACCGTTCTTTACCCGCTACTCCTAAAGTGACAAGTAAATCTCAGCCAATCAGGATTTTAGCTGACCAATATGGCTACCTTCCTATTGTTCCTACGTGTTCCCCCTTATTTAATCTAGCACTCGCCCCTCTGACTTAGGCTCCATCAATATGTTTTTACGTCTACGTAATAAACACACAGAGCATTTGGCTCCGAAGGAATCCTTGTTCCTTTGTTGGCTACCGTTGTATTCCCTTCCATCTCCGTCTAAAACCTTTTCACTTTGGTTTCAACAACCGGGAATGCCATCGCAAAACGTTCCAGCTCTGCATATTACCGCATCAACAAAGTACCTTCTCAATAGCCGACATGATGAAGGCCGATCTCCATTATCCGTCATCACGACAATCCCGCAAAATGGAGAAGAACCTTCCTGCCCTTTACATACGTCCTTACGTCTTACACGCACCGCCCAAAATCAATTGGCAACAAGTCATGAATGCGTGTAATTTCCTATGATATGTGCATAGCCACTATTAACGCAGCCAAACGAGATTCGAAAGGGCTCTTATATTGCGATGGCGCGCTCACGAAGCCGCGTTCGTTCGAACCTTCCTTTTTGTCCATGCGAGATGATAAAGGCCGATCTGGATTTAAGTTGCATGCCATTTACAATTAGTCCTGGTAGTTCAACCGAACACTTCCTCGTGTCGACACAAGATGGCTCTGCTGGCGCAGGAAGCAAAGAGCAATTCTCAAAGGTGTGGCAAAGCAAGTCTCTGGATGGTTTTCAAAACTCGTCGATTAGAAACGTCCATTACGATGTAAAACATTCTTCTTGGCCACCTTCATGCCAAATCAGTCGTCTAGACAAGCCGATTTAGGCGTAATGAAACTGACCGTCCTAACCGCATAAAATGTGACCAGAGCGTAACCACGATCCATCATGATGCTTTTATTTGACTTTTCCTTCAACCGACGTGAAATGATTCCCATACTCCCATTTCTTTGTCATCGGTTGAAGTAAAACCGACGTAAAAAATTCAAACGACTCACGCCTTGGTACTCTGGGCACATCGCCTGCTTTTAAGTTAGACCAGAATTCCTATCTGAGACATCATCGTACAAGACTTACTGTAAAAATACATCAGTAACTCGCTTCCAGTCGATGACTAATTCGCATTTGACGCACATCACGGCCAATAACCAACAAAACCGCCGAAAGTATCAATCAACTACCGAGCTCCCTCAGTTTGGGTTCCCTGATGAACACTTTCATCGATTAATTCTCGCAGCATCCATTAAACGCAATAAACTGACTTAAGGTGATATGAAAGTACCGTTAGAGGATTTCCTTTATGAAACCTTTATCCGAACTAGATGTTCTAAATCATTCAAAATCTTACCACGTGGCTTTGGACGCTCTGAGGAAAGTCCTGACACTGATGAAATTACAGTTTTCCCTTTTGTTAAATCTTTTTATAAGCATTTCAAAATTGTATATAAAACATCAAATTTCATGGATTTCAGAGCCTTTCTTAGAGCCTCCATATTCGCGTGGTAAACGTATCAACGATTTTATAGATCTAGTTCGGAAAACAGTTTCATAAACGACTCCCGGCATGCAACTTAAGTTTCATAAACAACAACACCTTAAGGGGTTGCGAAAGTAACGCCTGAAGGGTCAATCGTTCATGGAACTTTTCTCCGAACTGGGTGTATCGAAACCTATCAAACATTACAACGTGAACATGAAGACTATAAGGAAGGTCCTGACACCCATGAAATTTCATTTTTCATAAACAATTTTCAAAATCCCTATAAACAAATTTAAAAAGAATTGAACTTTCATGGGGGTCAAGACCTTCCTTATAGCCTCCATATTAACGTTGTAAAGTTTTAAGCGATTTGGTACACTCAATTCGGTCAAAAGTTTCATAAACGAGACCTCCTTGACGCCACTTTCGCATCACCTTAGGACCGACTGCAAACTTCTAGTTCCAGCAGACGTTGCACGAGGTAGCATCAAATGGACTCCCATGTCTCATCGATACCCCAAACGTTCAGCATTTCATGTTATGAAATGGGGAGACAATTTGGGATATCGAAGGAAACTTGCGATAACGTAAAAAAACCGATGGAGAAGCGTTAAGGGATGCGACCAGTGGCCTAACCCTAGAAGCCCGGGCTCGCACATCCTCGCGTCGACACCAGAGGGCGTTGCTGACGCGACAAGCTTAGGGCGATTCCCGAAAGTGAAAGAAGCGACCGGAAGCGAGCCGGTGCTTCCGCCGCTAGGCGATTTGCTCGCTGGACTCGTCGACTCCTCTCGATGGCAGGTCGCCGCGGCGGAGCGCCTCGAAAAATACATCTTGATAATCGCTACGGATGACACTTTAATAAGCCGGAGCTTGGAAGTCGCCCATTCGGGGCTGCTGCTGCTGCTGTTGGGCGAAAGGCGGTTCCTGGTAAGCCGCGTCCGTGGCGTCGGGGTAACTCGTGTAGCCGGCGCCACCTACCGGATCGGCCTCGTAGCTCGGGGCGAACGCTGCGTCCGTTCCCTGCTTGAATCTCTGATACGCGAACCAAGCGCAGCCAGCCTGAAAACATTTCACTTGTTACACTTCTAGCCTTAAGACGATATGGAAGGCGCCGAAAAATGTAATCGACGTTGATAAATTAAAATTCATCTATATCCTTTTTGGTGATAACGTCATTTTGAATACTCAATTGGTAACATAAGCTGGTAACAAGCGAACCAAACGCAGCCAGCCTGAAAACATTTCACTTGTTACACTTCTAGCCTTAAGGTGATATAAAAAGCACCAAAAAATGTAATTGACGTTGATAAGCTAAAATTCATCTATATCCTTTTTGGCGGTAACGTCATTTTGAATACTAAATTGGTAACAGAAGCGGACCAAGCGCAGCCACCCTGAAAACATTTCACTTGTTACACTTCTGGCCTTAAGGTGATAAGAAAATCGCCGAGGAATTTAATCGACGTCCATAAATTATAATTCAGCTATATCCTTTTTGGTGGTAACGTCATTTTGAATACTCAATTGATAACATAAGCTAACCAAGCGCAGCCACCCTGAAAACATTTCACTTGTTGATATAAACATTTCACTTGTTGAATAAAGGCGGTTAATATTAACCCTTATCATTCCAAGAATATTGGAAGAGTATTAGATGTTGGCAGTATTACTGCCGGTTAGAGTGATAAGGGTTAATAAAAAAAAAAAAAAGAATGTTTTTCGCCTTAAGTCCTTGACAGTCATACAAGCAACTACACTCCACAGATCTCTCTTTATGCCGACATTGCGCTCATATAACGGTAATTTTCACGTCCACGCTAACTATGCCAACAATGCGTCCATCATTATCATTTCATGATCTACATCCATAATATTCCGAGCATAAAATCTCTAATACCGAGTGATTTAGTAACCCTTACAATTCCAAGTACCTTTCCGGTTTGAACAATTATAAAAAAGGTGTTAGATAATACGTTTATAGGTTAGAAACTACACGATGAGTGCGATAAGAGTAGCTATGGCCTAGAGAAGGTGTTATAACGTCACTAATTGCATTGCAATACCTTTTCTCAATCACTATTTTATATCACAGAAGACAAGAAACCATTCACCAGTTTGTTAAGCTTTATCACATCAATTATCAAATGCGCATGCGCAACGGAGTCACCCATTTTCCATTGGTCGACTCGGAATGACGTCATTAACCTACTAATTAGGCAATGAAATACCCAGACAGCATAAAATATTCGTAGAATATAGAAAAGAAGTTGGAAAATATTCCTCATGTATATTCGACATTGGAATTATATTTTAAGTACAATATTAGATTATGTACATATGATAATATTTCCCAGATATAGTTTAAATATTTAATGCTTTATATATATATACAATATTAGTTTAGCAATGTCATTTGAAATATGGAATACTATTTTATAAATTCTACATTCATCCTATGTTCAAAAAATGTACATAGCACGTAAAACCATATCCTATTATTTGTGCTATGTATTTGTGCTGTCTGGGTATTCAACCTCAATTCTATTTTTATGCAAATCTGATAATGCGAGATGATGTTCAGTTTCCTAGAAAAAGAGGATATAACTGATATTTCATTTACGGAGCGTGAAAATTTAATATCTGTAACTCGCTTTTGAAGAAAACGAAAGTAGCTCGGAATAAAATCAAAGAGTACTCGTGGGCTGTACGACAAAGCCGTGAATTATAATAAAAAAGGAACGTCTTTTCTGCATACTCTAATTATTCAATGAGCAATGACTCATTCAATGAATCATTCAATGATGATTCAATGAATATGTGTAATAATGAGAGCATGGCGTCATCTAATTGACGCCATGCTCTCATTATTGCATGTATACTAGCTTTTCCCCCGACATCGCAGTGAAACCAAGAAAGTGCTCAGTCTGTTTTTTATCGACTTGTTCTCCTAAAATTGTCTTAAAATTATACGGAAAATTATACGAAATAAAGCGTTTCATGTGTCATTTCAGTAAAGTAATGATAAAGAGATCGAGATGTAAAACTGTCGAGATCTCATGAATTCGTGAATTTTTAATACTCCAATGATCAAACGGTGCCATCTGTGACGTTCAGCTGCAACCAAATTTTTGCTAGATAAACGTATTACCCACGGGACGAGACAGCATTCTCTTGCAATCGTTGGTGAAAATATATTCCATATTTTCCCATCTGACTCTGTAATATTTCATTTTTATAGTATTCTAAATTGTTTCGGGTAGATCCTAAAACTCTTCATTTTCGATTTCTTCATTTTCGATGCCTTTAAAAAGCGTAAAACATCGAAAACATGCATAGACCACGCCATGTTGATTCTAGTTTATGATAAATAAATTTTTTATCAAAATGGAATTTCACGATCTGTAGGACCTATCTTAAGGACCCCACATTCACGTGGTAAAATTTGCAACGAATCAGTACACCTAATTCGAAGAATACTTTCATCAACGATTTAACTTCTCAGTATGTACATATTGTGAAGTGTATGTCATTCATAACACCTTACATTATCTCAGTTTTAATTAATTATAACATTCCCATAAATTGCTTTTCCGTTCTAAAGCAATTGTTTCTTGAAAATAGGTTTTTCTCGTCAGGTCAGATGTCAACAGGTGACATGTTTATGAATGTAGATGATGAGTCTTTGCGAGTACGTGAATCTGTGTCAATAAAGTCTTTTCAGCTCTTACAATACTGACTAATCGTTCCTTCAAAATACAGTGAACATACCCAGGTGAAAATGGAAAAGAAGCAGAACGCTATAGCTCCTTGGACATTGTTCACGCCATAATCGTTTGGTGGTTGCTTCGACTTGTTCCACGCGTTGGTGAGGTAGCAGAATCCCACGAAATACAGGAATGCCCAGAATCCGGAAAACCTGGAAGAGAAAAGCTTAGTTTTACCACCAATACTAGTAGATTTGCTGCAGGGGCTAAGATAAAGTGAAACACGTCGAAGAACTTCGAAGAAGAGGGAAAAGGACAGTGATCGTCGAGGACCACACCCTTGAGCATTAAATAATATTTTACAGGAGTGATCACCATTTGGAATGGTAATATTAACTACGTGAAGAGGTTACAATACGCCCAGGAAAATGGAAGGTTTATCTGGGAGCTGTATCCACATATTATAGTAATGTTATACCCGTTGCAAGGTTATTCTAAACTTGCCTATATGATTGCAGAAACAATGATTTGGCCCCATTAGTTTCGACAGCGCCGCCAGGTGGCAAAACTTCTTGCAGGCAATACAGACTGTTCGCGTGCATATAAGACCCGTTACCACCCCTTACATTTACGATACAGTGCCTCTACAAAGAAGAGGGAAAAGGGAAGTGATCGTTGAAGACCAGACTTTTAAGCATCAAATGATATTTTACAGGAGTAATCACCATTTGGAATGGTAATATTAACTACGTGAAGAGGTTACAATACGCCCAGGAAAATGGAAGGTTTATCTGGGAGCTGTAACCACATATTATAGTAACGTTATACCCGTTGCAAGGTTATTCTAAACTTGCCTATATGATTGCAGAAACAATTATTTGGTCCCATTAGTTTCGACAGCGCCGCCAGGTGGCAAAACTTCTCGCAAGGAGGTGCAGACTGTTCGTGTGCATATAAGACCCGTTATCACCCCTTACATTTACGATACAGAGCCTCTACGAAGAAGAAGGAAAAAGGAAGTGATCGTCGAGGACCACATTTTCGAGCATCAAACGATATTTTACTTCTTGAGGTGGAAATGTATGAGAACACTGACAGAAACATAAGTATAGCGTTCGTAATCATAATAATCGAATTTCTTACGTGGACGGAAAGTTTTTAAATGGATATTAACAACTATGCATAACGTTGGAACAACTCGTTCCTTATAATTAAATTTATTAAATCGTGAAGTAACCCTTACTATGTTCTTTCTACTATGTTACGCCGGTTAATGCAACCCCCTTTCAAGGTTGTCCCGTATGTTGCCTTGCAATAAGGTTACGATTACCATAATTGTGATTTTCCTAACCATTCTTTCCTCTGTAAAGTAACCCTTACTATGATCTTTTACTACGTTACGCTGGTTAATGCAACCCCCTTCCAAGGTTGTCCCGTATGTTGCCTTGCAATAAGGTTACGATTACCATAATTGTGGTTTTCCTAACCATTCTTTCCTCGTTTTCCGTGTACTCATCTTGAAAGAGGGAACATAACTAACAAAATGTTTACAAATAGTTTCATACCCAAGATCGAGAAGTACGTAATGTTTACGAGTCTTGACAGAGGACATCTGTTCGAAGAGGTATTCTCCTGCCAGGAATCCGATGCTTGCTAGAAAAGCTAGGACGCCAATCCCGACGCCATAATTGCAGGCATTCGTGTCTCCGTTGTACAGGCAGACTTCCGTTTCTCCTTCCATTATGTAACCCTTGTTGCTTATGCAGCCGAAGACGATTATCGCAAACAGCTGAAACCAAGTAAACCCCAATATCAATCGCAATTTACGGCGTAATCAGTTAAAATGCAGGTACAAACCGCCTCCTGGCTCATTGTTCACGACATGAAGAAAGAATGTACTTTGCGCAATTTCGGAAGTAATTAATTTATAAGGGCAATTTCAATATTTCCTACGTGAATTCAATGATTCGAGGAATTTAAAATACAGTTGGCACTGTGAAATTCGGATTCCTGAAAGTATAATAAAATGAAACCGAAGGTCCAGAATTGGTTTATTCTTTACTGAAAATACCATCTCTTTTTTTAGGTACATTGTTATAAAATTTCAGATTAATTTCGAAGAGTCGTCAGGCCTAATTAGGGACACTTTTGTTAACATAATAATTCTTGCATAATATTTCATTTGACGTATTAATGCTTTTCTGCTTGGGAATGGTAGAAGCTTTTTTTTTCTTTTTTTTTAGGTAATTCTTTGCTGCACTACTCGTACGTTGTGCAAAAGTCATATCTGGGTCATGCTCAATCGCCTTAACCAGTCACGCGTGCATTTACAGCGGCTGCTTTGCTTTATTATTTTTCATCACTTCCCTTGTTAGTTTGATGTGTGCTTTTCGTTCTCGGAAGGCGTTTTTATGATGGAAGGATATGGAGAAAAAAAAATAGTTCTAAATAGTCATTGCTGTTATAATTATCTTCACGTTCTCAACCGCTTCGTTTGACAATCTTTCATTACTCTCTTGAAGCTTTTCATTCAATTTATGTATGTATATTTAATTCCCAGGGTGGCCTATTTAAGGTGAAGTGAAAACCCCCCCTCAAATCAGTCGTTTCGAATAAGACACTTTTTTTAAGGGTATTATATAGAACTGTCTGAAATATTGACACATGACTCGTGAGCACCTAGGAATTATCCTGACATTTTCAAAAATTTGGATTTTTGCAAAAAAATGTTTCAATATAGCCCAGACCAGAACCACAATGGCGTCATCGATCGATCGATATTCAGTTATTGAAGGCTCTAATATGAGAAACGGAAGGGTCAGGACAATTTTACGACAATTTAAGGTGAAGTGAAACACGTCGAGGAACTTGCTCGACGGCGATAAAGAAGATTTTTCTAAATGCCTACGTTGCCGCCGTTCGTTTTTATATTCACAGCTGTGTCGAATTATATTCGACATTGTACAAAATGGCATACTCCACCTGTCGTTTTCGTACAATAAATATCAAGAAATCGAAGTAAAACTCCCGAAATCCTCTGGATTCTTGCTTTCTGGGGCCCTAATTGACTGCAGAGGGACACCCTGCGCCATCTGTGATTTCCAGGTGAATTAAATTTTCACTACGAGACCTCGTATTCCCATGGTTTTAGCATAGAAGGGCATACAACACTTTTTTTGCCTTTATCGCGTTGAAATGCGAGTTTATCGATTACCAGAGTATTCTAAATTGTCATAAAATTGTCCTGACCCTTTCGTTTCTCATATCAGAGCCTTCGATAATTGTATATCGATCGAAATATGAGAGTTCGACGCCATTTTGGTTCTGGTTTGGGCTAAATTAAAAAATTTGTTCCAAAAATCCAAATTTTGAATGTGTCAGGACAATTCTTAGATGATCAGGAGTGATGTGTCAAAGTTTCGGACAGTTTGGTCCAATACCCTTAAAGAAAAGTGTTGTATTCGAATTGACTGATTTGAAAGGGGTTTCACTTCACCTTAAGACACTTTGATAATCGATGAACTCGCATTTGAACGGGATAAAGGAAAAAAAAGTGTTTTATGTGCTACTATGCTAAAACGATGGTAATACGAGATCTCGGAGTGAAAATTTAATTGACCTGGAATTCAGAGATGGCGCAGGGGGTACCACTGCAGTCAATTAGGGCCCTAGAAAGCATGAATCCAGAGGATTTCTGCAGTTTTACTTCGATTTCTTTATAATTACTGTACGAAAACGACAAGTGGAGTATGCCATTTAGTGCAATAGTCAATATAATTCGACACGGCTGTCAATATAAAAACGAACGTCGACAACGTACGTATTTAGAAAAATCTTCTTTATCGACGTCGATCATGTTCCTCGACGTGTTTCACTTCACCTTAATCTCACATAACTCGAGGAGGCGTGTTTCTGGTACAAATGAATTTGCCGCAAAATTCTACAGAATTTCCAAATTTCAATGCAGAATAACGAACGATTTTGAACTCCTTAATGGTCGCATAGATAGGTTATGTTAACCACAATGCAGATACGGATGTAGGGCACCATAAAGTTCAGACGAAGGAAAATAAAAACGCCGAGGAATAAAACATTTCCAGATGGAAAGACACTCGTCGTAAAATGCTCGGAATTCGCTAGAAGTGCAGTTCCTCGACGCGGATCCATTATTAAGGCTCTCTTGCATTTGAAAACGCGATAAAAAAATAGGGGCTGAGTACTTTATGCCCTCTAGCATTCGTTTTGAATTGTAAAAGCAGCTTCCAAGAAACCTCTTGCGAGTATAAGTTAACGTAAATGCGCGAGAGAAGTGATAAACAATGGCATAAAGCGAAATATTTTTCTCGCAACTCCACTTGTCGTTTTCGTACATTAATTATAAAGAAATCTAAGTAAAAGTCCAGAAATCCTCTGGATTCATGCTTTCTGGGGCCCTAATTGACTGCAGAGGGACCCCCTGCGCCATCTGTGATTTCCAGGACAATTAAATCTTCACTCCAAGACCTCGTATTACCATCGTTTTAGCATAGAAGCGCATACAACACTTTTGTTGCCTTTATCCCGTCCAAATGCGAGTTTATCGATTACCAGAGTGTTCTAAATTGTCGTAAAATTGTCCTGACCCTTTAGTTTCTCATATATCAGAGCAATCGATAATTGTATGTCAATCGAAATATGAGAGCTCGACGCCATTTTGGTTCTGGTCTGGGCTGAGTTAAAAAATTTTCTCCAAAAATCCATATTTTCAATGTGTCAGGACAATTCTTAGATGATCGGGAGTGATGTGTCAAAGTTTCGGACAGTTTGGTCTAATACCCTTAATAAAAAAGTGTTGTATCCGAATCGACTGATTTGAAGGGGGTTTCACTTCACCTTAATACTCTCAAATGGAAAAGCATTGTTAGTAAGAAAAAATTTGTCAGAAATTATCTTCTTACGGAGAATATTTCTCTAAAGAAATTGAAAGCCACCTTGAAGTTAACAATTATTGTTCCAAGCTTTTGCACGCTTCACAGCATTGACAATTTCTCTATCGACATCCATCGAGGCAGAATTTTCATAAATAAGCTGGGATTATTTAAAGAAAATCAATAAGGAGAAAAATATGCACATAGTTTGTAAGCAGAAGTGGAAAGGGACAGGGTCGTAATAAAAATAATTGAAGAAATAAATTAAACAGTTTATTGAGAAAGATCGGGCAGGAAATTAAAATAAACATATCGGTATACAAAAGTATACGACAAAACAATACGAAATTCAAACATCATACTATAAATTCCTTTTTCAAATGACAGGTCAACGTTTCGACACCCAATATTTCTTTAGTTTGTTCCACGATACTTCCACGGTAAATCATTGTCAATGCTGTCAATGCTGTCAATGAATTAATAGATTCCGAGCCTTCGCTTCCATGACTCTTGTCAACTCTCCTGAAAATCATCGAAGCAAAGTGTATAAATAGAAGCAACAGGAAGTTTTTTAATCGGCATATAACAATCATATTAAAATTCATTTTTGATGCTGTCTCTAATTACAAACATTTCAAGTCATTATTTCAATAGTTATCAAACGTATCTTCTATGCATAGATTCATCGATCGTTAAAATACAATACATATGTAAGAGCGAAGGACATTAATGACAGCGAAGAATATACAATATGTAAAAGCGTACACAAAACGGAGAAGAGAATGCATAATTTCTACAAAATTGAAGACGATGTATTAGATCAGGGAAAAGTGAAAAGTTGTAAAGAATCAAAGCAAGTCTTGCGAAAAGCAACATTACTTTCAAACTCATTGTCATAAGCAAGCATAAGGAGTCCGCTCAGTTTATAATATGTTAGAAAAGAACATACAAAGTAAATGATCTGTATGAAATGTATGTAAAATATAAAATCACGGTGCGTCTAGATTCGCTATGTATGTACAGTAAGCACCCCAACATCGGAAATATGGAATGAAACCTATTGGAGAATTTAGTGCTTTTTTAGTGCTATTTTAGTGTGCTACAACCTGGATTTTAGTGCTCCACCCCTTACACCGAAAATCGGTGGTGGTGCTGAGTGAACGTTCACTCAGCACCCCACAGTGCACGAACAACAGAAATATGTATAATATGTACATTAAGAGTAACAATAAATGTCCTATGAATTTTAAATGGCATTATTTACCTTTTACAGGAATTGTTAAATCGTAAAAGTAAAGGGCACATCCCAAAAAGCAATTAGTATTCCCAAGAATTATATGAAAAAGGGCAAAAAATGTATATTAGAGATACATGAGAGGCGAATAGTATGTACGAGCAGAGTATTAATTACAGAAAAGAGTACGCATGGAAGGCAACGTAATGCTTGGAACAAACATTTACATCAAAATGAGAAACGCAGCATCCAGGGATTCATTTCTACGGTACTAAAAAGTAATAAAAAAACCTTAGGATGATTTTAATGAAATAGCTGTTTAGCATCTAAATGAGTATCAAACTATATAAGATTGCAAAATCAAAACTTCCAATCTAAACATAAAGCATGTATCATTAAAAAATCATAATTCTCAAATATTCTCACTTTGTACATGGTAACTTAAATTCTCATTGACATTATCCATACACTCGTTATGATTGGTTTACCAACATGCATTGAATTAAATGCTTGATCGATCATTTTTCATATAATTCACTATATACGTATCTTTGATTTTAACACATGTAATACAGAAACCTTCAAAATCATGAAAACAAAGTATTCGAAAGGAAATTAGGAGGTTGGGACGTAATCCTTCCACGAGACTATAGCAAAGCACAGACATGAACGAGTCTAATACACCAAGACTATAACTACAGACAAAACTGAGAACCATACAGTTCTGGTTTTTCTGACAAAAGTAAAGATCATTTTCTGTCATCGATATACAATTATTTTCAAAATTAAGTACGTATATTTTCTTTATTTAATCCTTTTAGTGCCAGCCAAAGTCATCAGCACTTGTAAAGCAACGCAATATCGTTGTTCGGCACTAAAAGGGTTAATATTAATACAAAATGGAGCTACTAGAGACTATTAAACGATAAAAGCAAAGTGTTCGAAAGAAAATTAGGCAGTTGGAACAAAACCCTTCTACGAGATTATATCAAATCACAGGTATGACGAACATAAGTTTAGACAAAAATGAGAAACATATACTTCTGACTTTACTGTCGTAAGTAAAGATCCTTCTCTATCATTAGTACATAATTATTCCAAAAATTAAGTACATACGTTTTTTTTATTTAACTCTTTTAGTGCCAGCCAAAGTTGTCAGCACTTGTAAAGCAATGCAATATTGTTGTCCGTCACTAAAAGGGTTAATATTAATACAAAATGCAGCTACTAGAAACCATTAAACGATAAAAACAAAGCATCCGAAAAGTAATTAGACAGTCAGGACTAAATCCCTTCACGAGAGTACATGTATCAGAACGCAGGCATGAACGAGCATAAGTACAGACAAAAATGAGAAACATATACTTCTAACTTTGCTGTCATAAGTAAAGATCTTTCTCTATCATTAGTATATAATTATTCCTAAAATTAAGTACATACATTTTTTTTTTATAATCCTTTTAGTGCCAGCCAAACTCGTCAGCACATATGAAACGACGCTATATCGTTGTCCGGCACTAAAAGGGTTAATATTAATACAAAATGCAGCTACTAGAAACCATTAAACGATAAAAACAAAGCATCCGAAAGGAAATTAGACAGTCAGGACTAAATCCCTTCACGAGAGTACATGTATCAGATCGCAGGCATGAACGAGCATAAGTACAGACAAAAATGAAAAACATATACTTCTGACTTTGCTGTCACAATTAAAAATCCTTCTCTATCATTAGTATATAATTATTCCCAAAATTGAGTACATACATTTTTTTTAGTTAATACGAATAATTTTTTATTAAATACGAAATGCAGCTAGTAGAAACCATTAAACAATAAAAACAAAGAATTCGAAAGGAAATTAGGCAGACGGGACAGAATCCCTTCACGAGAGTATATCAGATCACAGGCATGAACGAGCATAGTACGCACGGGTCGTACGTACGGGCGGAAAAGAGAAACACGCAACCCCGACCCCGGCGCGCAGACGGGGGCGAGGTAATGAAAAATCTCGGCGTAAGTAAAATAGCCACCCGGGCGGGGTGGGCGGGCCGAGCGATTAGCCATGACCCAGATAGGAATCTCGGACACCATAGGGAGCGAGTCTCATGGGGCGTATCGCGTTAATTCTCGAAAAATCAATAGAACAACCCCATCGACCGGGCGCGGGGGGAGGGCGGCGGGGAGGACGGGGTAGTTTGGGGAGATTAAAATCGATGTCGAGTTTCGAGTGGGGCCGTCTCTTCCTCGGTCCGGTCCAGCCCGGAGGTTGGGCGCCAGGTCGAGACCCGGAGGCGCGCCTACTCACCAGACATGCCGCTCTCAGGATGACCTGCGGCCGCTGGACGAAGGCGATCGGGTCGAAAGGGGCGCCCGCCTTGCCGCCGCCGTACGCTCCACCGCCGTCCATCTTTGCGCGACTGAGCCAGACAAAATTCAAAGCCCTCGGAAAAGCACCACGCGCATGCGCTGAGCTTCCTCCTCCTGACGCCGTAGCGATTGACGCGCCGACCTAGTCGCGCGCCATCTGACGGCGGGAGTTCGAACCAATAGATGTAAGAGTGGAGGCTTTTCAATTATCTGGGGGTCTATTACGTAAAGCACATTGAGCGAGGATGTGAAAAATGAGTAGCTGATGCTAGTACGGAACGTTTTTCGGGGTGAAAATGCGAGACCGTTCATGTGAACTGGTTCGGCACAAATTTTTAAGCGAAATAGTGAAGCGGACATGAAAAGATAGAAAAATAAGCGCCGTGAACGCCATCTTTCACGGATTGTGACACCAAAATTCAAAATGGAAAACTTCCTGGGTGTTTTGATTTTTGGCAACAATCGTACTCGGGGATGTAATAATAACCTTATTAGAAGAAGAAAGGAATTCCGTGATGCCTCAGACCCATTTTCGTTAGAAGAAAGAGAATTTACTAGGATGTACAGGTTAGTTTTTGTTATTGCGAGGTTATATTACATTATTGAACATTGAAAACTGTGAAATAATTCATGCTTACATGACATGATAAGAAAATTATATCGTTGAACTTCTAATTATCGTACATGTAAATATGAATGTAGTACATATTTAAAAAATATAAACAGACTCGAGTCCTCTTCTTTACTTTTAAGGGCTGATAAGGGTCAGAATATTATTGCAGTAGAATGTAAAACAATTTATCTACAACAGGGAAAAATTATAGTTTAGTTCATTCCAACCGCGGTTAGGTAGTAATACATAATTATTGTAAATTGTTTCAATCATTATGTACAAAACTAAACCGCTAAATCGTTCTATACACGAAGAAGATGCATTAATAATTACTTCCGTTTATATTACGTTGAGATGTTAGCATAAATGTTGTATTTTCCTGTTTGTTGGTCCTTTCAATTTTGAAATTTGCCGCCAAATTCGCGGGCTACCCTTCTTGCCCTCGCTCGGAATTGAGGGTAGAAAGTGTAGAGAAAGTGTACACTCGGGGTAGATGCCCTCGCAAAACGACCAGCTACGTTGCGTCACTTCCGTCAAAACGAACGCCGAAGTGTACACTTTTCGTAAAAGTGTAGAAAGTGTAAACAAAACGAACAAACCTGTTATGTCTCGTGGCTTCACCCCACGTGTCGGAGTTACCATCTATGCCCAATCTTCTCTATGTCTATGTCCATGGAAATTACCCAACCTTGAAAAAAACCAATTAAAAGTTATCATCCGGATAACTTTATCTGGCAGGTAATTATCGGCTACTTTGCCAGGAAATAAAAAAATCAGGCATAACGTAAACGAACGTTCACTATCCTGATTGGCGCAGGCAGTTTTGAACAGCCAATCAGGTATCGGTATCCATCGTCATAGGTAACCAATCACAACGAAGAATTCTCAATCCAAATTTTACGAACGTAACCTCCACCGTCTGTGCTTGATATGCCGTCCAAGAAGACGGAAATTTGTTCGCCGATTTATCTGCCCTCGCAATGGGTATTTTAGAGAAAATATCTGAGATCGAAAAAGAAATTGCCAGGACACAGAAGAATAAAGGTTGGCCAATTTTCTTCTGTAAAAATACTCATATATCCTCCTTTTTCCGGGAATTCAACTAGTTTAGGTTGTATGGGCAGAAACGTGTACAAACTTCCACATGTCATTTCGTTGCCGACATTTGATTTTAAGTTATTTAAGTAAAAACTATCTGTTTATTTATAAGTATGCTCACATATTTTTCTGGTTATAGCAACCGAATATCATCTGGGACTCTTGAAAGCAAAGCTTGCCAAATACCGGTCCCAGCTTTTGGAGCCGACCAAGAAATCGGAGAAAGGAGAAGGTTTCGATGTTCTGAAATCAGGAGATGCGAGAGTAGCTTTAATCGGTTTCCCATCGGTTGGTAAATCGACGTTGTTGAGCACATTGACTCATACGGAGTCTGAAGCCGCGTCTTATGAATTTACCACGTTAACATGTATTCCTGGAGTCATCGAGTACAAAGGCGCAAATATTCAACTTTTGGATTTACCTGGAATAATTGAAGGAGCTGCACAGGTATAGCGATGTTTATTATCATTTTTTCAATTACAACAATATATCTCGATATTCCAATAGTTCAAAAGTTGCTTGTTTAAACTATTAGAGATGTTATGTATAAGCGACCAACAAAATATCAAATTTAATATTTAATTTTGCTGTTTTGTTATTTACAAATTACTTGATTTATTCAATATTAGTGTGAAAAAAGTGATGTTTTTAATGAGACTTATAAAATGTTATTGACTTACTTGTCAGTGTAATTTTTTTATTGAAAGCGAATAATTTTCAAGCAGAGAAATCAATCGGATTTTAAAAATTACAGGGCAAAGGAAGAGGTAGGCAAGTGATAGCTGTTGCGAGAACTGCCGATTTGGTGCTAATGATGTTGGATGCTACCAAGCAAGATGTGCAAAGGCAACTACTCGAAAAAGAATTGGAGTCAGTTGGAATACGGCTTAACAAACGTAAACCTAATATTTACTTCAAAATCAAAAAAGGTGGCGGTTTGTCCTTCAACTCGACGTGCCCATTAACTAGAGTCGATGAGAAACTAGTACAAATGATCCTACACGAATATAAGATCTTCAATGCCGAAGTACTGTTTCGAGAGGACTGCACAGCCGACGAACTGATAGATGTTATCAATGCTAATAGAGTTTACCTTCCTTGCCTCTACGTATACAATAAGATAGATCAAATATCGATAGAAGAAGTCGACAGGATCGCCAGGCAGCCCAATAGTGTTGTTGTTAGGTAAAAAGCTGTTTTTAATTGCATAAGTTCAGGGCTTGAAATACAGTAGTACTTCTTCGATTCCATCTACAACAGATTTTATATTCAGACTTCATTAATTAATTGTAACTTTAAAGTGCAATGAAAGTAGCGTGTGAGGAGTGAGTTGTTCATGAAACTTTTCCAAACTTGACGTACGGAGTTGATTGAAATTTTACAATATGAAAGTGGAAGCCTTAAGAAAAGTTCCGATACACATATTTCATTTCTTATAACAAATTTAAAACAGTGCAATTTTATAGGTATCAAGACTATCTTTAAGACCTTCAAATCCAGATGGGAAATTTTCAAATGATTCGGTACCCTTAGTTTGAAGAAAAATTTCATAAACGAGGTCCCGCTATCGCCACTTTCATCTTTTTTTTTATAAAGACGTAAATATTAATGTGTTGCGTAATGTCGCTCTAATATCTACCAACAAATACGAGTTTTACATATTTCTTAAACAACGAAGCTTCTTCGACTTATAAAATTTCTATCAAAATAATATAACAAAAGTCAAGTTGCTGCTACCTTTTGACTTTTTCAAGCCCTGTTAACAAAAACCTTTCTACTCAAATATTCGTTACCGATGTTATGACGACACCGGTGTCTTATCCGAAGTTGTAACATGAAGCTGAACCTGGACTTCCTTCTGGAGACCCTTTGGGAATACTTGTCGCTGATAAGGGTGTACACCAAGAAGCCTGGCCAGCCTCCAGATTTCGACGATGGACTCATCCTCAGGAAAGGTGTGACCGTCGAGCACGTTTGCCATGGAATTCATCGCACACTTGCCCAACAGTTCAAATATGCATTGGTTTGGGTGAGTGAAACATTATAGTTTTGTTTTTCCATTGTTTTCTTGATATGGTTTCTTCATTCTTCGGCTATGAATAACAACAAATATCATAAAAAATAGTTTCACTACACAGGATGAAAGTAATAATATCAAGGTAAAATTAAAAGTCGAAATGTCCATTTCTGTGAACAATGTAAATTTATCCTACTCGAAAAATTGTTACACGGGGTGTTCCGTCATTCTTTATTAAAATGGATGTACCGATTCGTTTCAAATTTTACCACGTTAATATGAAGACCCTAAAGTAGGTCCTGAGCCTCATGATATTTCGTTTTTCATAAAATATTTATTTATTCATTATAGACTAGAACCAACATGGCGTGGTCCAAGCACATTTTCAATGATTTACGCTTCTTGGAGGCTTGGAATCGAAAATGAAGAGTTTCAGGACCTGGCTCGAACAATTTAGAATACCGTAGAAATGGAATATTACAGAGTCAGATAGGAAAATGTGGAAAATATGGAAAATACTTTCACCAACGATTGCAAGAGAATGCTTGTCTCGTGGTTGACAAGTGTTTTTAGAGCAAAAATTTAGTTGCAGCTAAACGTCACAGATGGCGACGTTGATTCTAAACGGTCGTTAGAATAATGAATTCACGGGATTACGACAGTTTCACATCGATCTCTTCATTATTACTTTATTGAAATGACGTATAGAACGCTTCAGTTCGTGTAATTTTCAACACAGACTGTCGAAATCCCGTGAATTCATTATTCTAACAACTGTTTAGGACAAACATTGCCATCTGTGACGTTTAGCTGCAACTACGTTTTTGCTCTAAAAACACGTTTTAGCCACGAGACATTCTCTTGCAATCGTTGATGAAAGTATTCTCCGAATTGGGTGTACCGATTCGTTTCAAATTTTACCACGTGAATACAGAGGTCTTAAGGTAGGTCCTGAAGCTCATGAAATTTCATTTTTCATAAAAAATGTTTTTATTTATCATGTACTAGAACCAACATGGCGTGGTCCGTGCACATTTTCAATGTTTTACGCTTCTTGGAGGCTTGGAATCGAAAATGAAGAGTTTCAGGACCTAGTTCGAAAAATTTAGTTGCAGCTAAATGTCACAGATGGCGACGTTGGTCCTAAACAGTCGTTAGAATAATGAATTCCCGGGATTTCGACAGTTTTACATCGATCCCTTTATCATTGCTTTACTGAAATGACATATAGAACGCTTCAGTTCGTATAATTATCAACGTAGACTGTAAAAGATCAATATAATTTTAAATGTCAGTAACGTGACGCGCCGGATTACGTTACCACTTGAGTATTCATAATGACGTTACCATCAAACAGGGTATAGATGCATTTTAATTTATCGTGCTGGATTAAATTTATCAGCGCGTTTCATATCATCTTAACTTCCTCCTTGCGAAGTTTTAGTGCACATCGAATTTGCAATTTAATCTGATTATTTTAATTTCAGGGTACGAGCACCAAGTATTCGCCCCAGAGGGTAGGAGTACAGCATGTGATGCACGATGAAGACGTCATACAGATAGTGAAAAAATAATAAGTTCACCGAAAGTTACACTAGTGGTTGGGACTTGAGTCCTCCGGAGCAAGGATGATGTGCCTGAATCAATTCAGTTTTTTTTTCATTCAAAGATGCGATTGGCTGACATCGGAAGCATGTTGTTGGAAATGTCGAACTGAATATGAAAGTGTGATAAAAACTGGAGTTTAACGTTCGTGCGCATTTCGTGTGTATATTATTATCAGGTGCGTTGCAAGTTGCGCGACGCCTCCTCGGTGAAACGATTTTATATAAAATATACTTCAACTGCCTGGGCATTTTCGCTTACCTCAAGTTTAACGAACAACCTTAAGAAGGATTATTTTACTGAAGATATAGGATTAACAGGAACTTTTGTATGTACATTTTCTTCCCCGCCCATATTTCCGGGAACGTGAGAAACAATTTATTAAGAAGTATGTCAGTGGCCTAAGCTGGTATCTCAAGGGTCAATTTTCTAGGATACATTTCTGCGAATTGTGTTTGCGCTCCTTGAGGACGAGCGCTGAGATGATGTTCCTGGCGGGTAAATTCAAATCCCGAGAATTTAAACCACGCACAAGGTTAAAGAATAATAACGATTTATTACAATAATAAAAAACCAAGGATTGACAATACAATTTATCAATTTGATTCGCGGTACACTGGGAGACATCAATGCCCTCCCATCCTGCACAGGCGATGCCGTATCTCCAGGGGAGGCATTCATGTCCGCCATTGTACATTCGCGTGTCCAATTAAGGTGAAGTGAAACCCCCTTCAAATCAGTCGATTCGAATACAACACTTTTTTTTTTTTAAAGGTATTAGATGAAACTGTGCAAGAAAACTGCGTACTATTTAAAAAAAATATATATATAGACGACCTTGTTTGATAAGCGTTCCGAACCAAGAACGAACAGTTCTGCATGCGTCCGTTAGAAAACCTTGAAGCACCTTCTCCGTATCGCCAAGACCTTTATCTAAGGAGTTATTTGCTCTCCATGTATTTATTCGAAAATACAAGCGAGGGTAAAATGATACTTTCCGGAAGTAACGACTATAGTAAGATCGAAAAAAAAAAAAGAGTCAACACTACGCGGTGTTCCCAAGCGGTCACCCATCCAAGTACTGACCGCGCCCAACGTTACTTAACTTTGGTGATCGGACGAGAACCAGTGATTTAAACGTGGTATGAGCGTTGACATAAACGTATAAATGTTTATCTAACATTCAGTTCCATAATAAATATTTGTTTCATAATTTACTATTTTACAAATGCGTTCCATTTTTGTTACCATAAGTAATGTACAAGTCATGTTATAACATTGATTTACGATATCGATGTCAATACTGCTACCCAGTGGGATAATGTATCGTCCTGCATGTCGATTAATCGGAGATATTCATTTTTTCTTCCATACGTGAATTTACTGTTCGGTGTCTCACTTTCAACACTGATCACTGTGGAACCATTCTCATGTTAGTTTTGGTTAACTTCACTTTTCGTGTCGTCCATGGCATTGTTAACTATAATTTATGGCATTGATAACGATAATTTCCGACTGCTTCACGTTAATAGTGAACTAACAATTTATTTACTTTTTTTCGTAATATGTTTATATTCCCGATGCCACAAAGGGCTGTGAACAGCACAAGGGCTGTTTTCTGTGTGGTGCAGGCCACTAACTCGTCACGGCGAATTTTCCGTCCACACTTAAGATGAAATGATCCCCTTCAAATCAGTCGATTTGAATACAACACTTTTTTTTAAGGATATTGGACCGAACTGTTCGAAACTTGGACACATGACTCGTGATCGTCTAAGAATTGTTTTGACCCGTTCAAAAATTGGATTTTTAGAAAAAATTTGTTTAACTTAGTCTAGACTAGAGCCAAAATGGCGTCGAGCGCTCATATTTCGATCAATATACAATTATGGAAGGCTCTGATATGAGAAACAAAAGGGTCAGGACAATTTTACGACAATTTAGAACACTCTAGTAATCGATAAACTCGCATTTGGACAGGATGAAGGCAACATTAGTGTTTAAACAACGCCATCCCTAGCGGAAATGGAGTTGAAAAGTTCTGTACTACTTTTTTCTACAGCACATCGTTTGCTTATAATTTTTAATTGAAAAATGATCAAACAAGCGCGTCGAAAAAACGCAAATTGAAGAGCTTGAAGTAAGTCTCCAAATACCACATTTACCGTAAAGATGACAAAAAGCTGTCTTCTTGAAGTCATCTTTTCGACCCGACGAAGAGATATCTAAAAGAAGTCTAACGTTATATATTGCTAAATATAGCAGGCTAAAAGATATCACTGTATGGATACCTGATAAAGTGAAAATCTGTCCATAACATGTCAGAAAGTAAGTTGAAGATGGCAGCGCCATTTCGTTTAGATCTAATTTTAAATACAAATATTATTTAAAAATAGAAAAAAAATTAAAGCTTCTGTGTCATCAGTAAATACAGCAAGTGCCATTACCATTTACATGTCTTTACACTGTAACAATTCTCACGACGTTTCGTCAACTCGCATTTGATTCGTCCTTTTGTTTTGCGGTAAGTTCAAAGATTATATTGCGTATACGATTGAGGTCGGTTAATTCGTTCTGCAATTTCTTAATGGATTCTTCTTTTTCAGCTATGACTTTTTGGTACGTGTTGCCTTGCTTCGTTAATTGATCGATCTCTTGACGTAGGGCAGAAACGTTTTCATTGAAGGATGCAATTTTCTTTTCGAGACTTTCGATCTCCTGTTAAAAATTATTCACATTAAATATGAGTTTGTGTATAACAGACATTTATATTATTTATCAAGTACACAAATAAAGATCTTATATAGACTTATATAGTGCCCAATCGTAGGACAATAAAGGAATACCTGATTTTTTCTGGCTAATGCACCTTCCGTTTTGTGCAGTAATTGTGACAAATCCTGTTCTTTGGCAGTTAACTGTTGGAGTTTTGTCTCTACAACGGAACGTTCTTTACGAGACTCTTCTACTACTTTTTCCAGAGATGCTATCGTAACTCTGCACTCTTCCAGCTCTTTCATCGTTTCATCTATCGTCTCGCTTTTCTCCGTTATTATCTTCTTCAGACTTTTGATTTCCTATCAATGATAATAGGATTTAATATTTTTTATATCAAAATAAATTGCACGAAAAAGATATTTAAAACCAAATATATAAATACCTGAATCTGCGTGGCATGAATTTTTTTACTTTCTACTTCGGCTTTCTGGAGTCTTGTTGTCGATGCTTTTTTTTCAGCTTGCATGCCTTCAAGACATTGTTGAGTGTAGAATAGCAGCTGATGCAAGCGGCTGGATTCGGCAAGAACCTGAGCCAACCTATGTTGCATACTGGTCGAATGGTTGTTCGCAGCTTCCAAGCTGGCTTGCGTCGCTCTCTCTGCATCTTTCATGACTGCTAACTTTTATCTCCAGTTATGTTAAGAGGTAAAAGAGAATTCAAATAATACATTCAACTACAAAATACCTTATATTCGTATAGTTCCATAACCATAGAGATGGTAACGTCACTAGCTTGATTTCTTTCGAAAACCTCCCCTAGCCTAGCGATGAAATTGTCTAGTCGACCTTCTTGAGTCAATGAGAATAGTGGTACCATCTCGGCAACATTGCTAGTAGTCCTTGATTTGTTTCCATCAAAAATTCCTGATTCTGCTGGCATCAGCATTAAAGTTTCCAATTCTCGCATACAACGTGCTACTCCAGATGTGCTTATGAAATAAAAAGATACCGTTCCATTAAGCAATATTTAAAATTGTTTTACGAATAAACTGAAATTCATTAAAGGGAGCTCACCATTCTTGAGGAAATCCTACCGACAGTGGCAGAAGGAGAATTTTTTGTTTCACTTCTATGTCACCGTTAAGTAAAGCAACTGCCATTACCATTTGCATTTGCTTACATTGTAATAATTCTGAGTACAAAGTGAGCCAGTTGGAATTGTGAGGAGCGAGATCTGCAGTCAGTGCCAGGGCATGAACATACAGGGTAGTCGAAGGATCCTGTAGTATTTAATACATCAATCAATTTACACCATTCACTTCCTAGAACAATATAATAAAATTTGTCTCATTTCTGAGAACGGTAACTCACATGAAATAAATTTCTAGGCCAGTCTTCTTCAGCCCGAATTTCTTCTCGTTCTAGTATCGGAATCAGCAAGTCCCTCATTGTCTGTTCGGTGAAAGCCTGCATTACTTTATTTTTAAGATCTGGCAGCTTAACCATTTCTTGAAGAAGTTGCATAAGTTCGGTAAGTCGTGCATGAGTCTCGGTACTTCGTTTCTCGCCCATTCCTTGCATTTCGTCGTCTCCCTCAAAATTGACACAGTGCATCAGGGTGGACAGGTCCAACTTCGAGAAGACTTCGGCACTGCTTTTAGTACGTCTGGTATCTATCACGATCGTTCGTATCAGAACTAATGCTTTCGAACATACCTATATTTCAAGGAACTTTTTTTTAGAACATCCAGGCAATATATTTCGTAACGGGACACTCTTGGACTATAATACAAGCTTTAAGATCTCTTATCACTTATCGGATTGTCTTTCTAACAGATGATGACTTGACGTCACATAAGACAAAGGATTAACATTAAGATCGTAAAGCTAGTAAAGTCGGCAAAGGATTTCCCAGAATTTGATATTTTATACTTGAGGAAACAAACTTGTTCTATAGGAATCCAGATCATTGCAGTTTCGATGCAGGCCGAATACAGTGGAAGCAAAGCAGAAATTTGAAGCTTTACTAGTAACGATAAGAACTCCATTACTAGAGAAACACACTTATGATCAGACTGGCTGTTAACCGTATCTAGTACATTCTCAACCTCCGTAGCGTAACTAAATATAAAAAGAAAATAATAAAACAATAGTGAAATATAAAATCATTTTATAAAAAATGAAATGCAGTCTAAATTTATTACAGTTGATGCTTACTTACTTCGGGTACATTAAAAGGGCTGCATGATGATTCTGCCTGGCATCTTCAAAGAAATCTACAATATGTCGTAACAGTAGTGCATCTTTATTATTCAAGGCTTCTTTTAAACTAAGAAACGTAACTGCAATGAAATCCATCATTTTCTTCTCCGAGATTTCTCTATTATTGTATTCGAGAATAAGCAGCAATTTACAACAATGCACTCTCGTACTGACACTGCAACTCTGCATTTTCAGCAATGATTTTACAAATTCATTCATATCAATCTTACGCATCAATGTATATACTGCGGGAAGATTTTTGTAACAAAGATTGACCAACACCCCTAATGAAAGGGCGATGACATCTTCCTCGCTTGATTGCGTTATCCACTGGGTAAGCGTCGATATTAAATCTGGCAAATGTGCTTCTTGCCAAGAAATCTTTATTCCGTATGTCAACTCCTGCAGCAGTTTCAATACCCGTATTCTCTTCTCCGAGATTAAATTTGCCTATAGAAAAAGAAAGTGATATAAAAATAATACAGATCGCTCAGAAATTGGTACACAAGAGCAATTAATATTACCTTTAATAATCTACCTAAAATCGGAGCAAAATTATAAGTATAAATCAATGCTCGTCTTGCCGCATCATTTCGGCATGCATTTTGCACAGCAGATATCGCGCTCCATATTAAAGTAGTTCTAGAGTCTAGGGAGTTAATCAGTTTATATAGACTAACATAAAATTCTGCAACGATACAGGATCCAGGATGGAATAAGCTCAGATCCGGCAATGTACTTATCACCTGTTGAACAAACATATAATTTTGTTACCATGTTTGTAGATGCGAGTTGATTCTAAACCAAATAATGAAAAGTAAAGTTAACAGACCACCAGATTTCTCTCCAACTCAGCTGCAGTAGTTTCATCGGCATGTTTGGTATATTCCAAAGTCGCCGAAATGAACTTCCTCATGTGTTGATACTTCTCCATTTTCAAAATCACTTTAATATTACAGAATGCACCGTGATCAATACAGAGGCATATACAAAATTTTCTTTGAAGCCGAAGACCGGAACAGGCTGCTTTAGATTGTTTAGTTAATATAAGGCAAACATGTGGTGCGGCATAATGAACGTTTTCTGAGGTTATGGCATCGGCGTCCTGTAACTCTCAACACTTTGAGGACTCAGACCACTCAGACCGCCGCGCGACTCACTGATAACTGGCAAATGCCTCGCAATAGTTCACCAGTCACTTATTCTGACATTTAATGTGATTCCAATACGTTTTAACATCCAGAAATACGTTAAAGCTCAACAAAGTTCAAAACGTCATGAAACATTCAAACTCTTGGTACGCGGCAAACAGCGGCAAATCAGCAAATCGAGACTTGTCGAGGCCCGCCGCCTTTTTCCAAAATGGCGGCTCAAGCGCGGTTCACTCGCTGAAATATTTGGGGCGTTTATTACGTATTTTTCACGAGAGCGCTCACTTTTCGCACTTCCATCTCACGTGGGTTTATCCGCTGAATTACACCAATTACGTATTCGCTATATGAAAGAGCGAGATCACTAGCATTTCCGGTCTAGTAATATTTCAAATAAAGATACATACCTTGTAAATCGAAAATTGTTAAGAGGTAATGGGTTATAGAAAGAAAAGGTGGGAGAATGAGAAGCCGTTAAAAGTAGGGGACTTCAGTCTATCTATATTTTTTAAATATGTATTACATTCATATTTACATGTACATACTATAATGAGAAGTGCAACAATATAATTTTCTTATCATGTCATGTAACAGAGATGAGCCTCTGCATGTAAGCATGAATTATTTAACAGTTTTCAATGTTTATTAATGTAATATAACTTCGCAATAACAAACACTAACCGGTACATCCTAGTAAATTCTCTTTTTACTAATGATAATGGGTCTGAGGCATTACTTAATTCTCTTCTTCTTCTAATAAGGTTATTATTACGTCCCTGAATGCAATGGTTGCCAAAAATCAAAACACCCAGGAGGTTTTCCATTTTAAATTTCGGTGTCTTTTCCTGCCTATAACACACTACTTCTCAACAATTTCCGATTTACAAGATATCTACCTTTATTTAACAATATTACTAGAAGTGCTAGTGATCTCGTTCTTTCATATAGCGAATACGTTATTCGGCGAACAAACCCACGTGAGATGAAAATGCGAGAAGTGAGCGCTCTCGTTAAAAATACGTAATAAACGCCCTAATCTCTGCAAAACGACACGATAGTTTACACCGACAGCTTGATAAATCCACGCGTTTAGTACGCGACCAAGTCATCGGTGTAAACTAATCTCCGCATAACGACACTCGATAGTTTACACCGACAGCTTAATAAATCCACGCGTTTCGTACGCGACCAAGTCGTCGGTGTAAACTAATCTCCGCATAACGACACACGATAGTTTACACCGACAGCTTAATAAATCCACGCGTTTAGTACGCGACCAAGTCATCGGTGTAAACTAATCTCTGCATAACGACACTCGATAGTTTACACCGACAGCTTAATAAATCCACTCGTTTAGTACGCGACCTAGTTATATGTGTAAACTAAGCCGTAGTATATGGTAGGATCACGTGACGCACATGCGCGAAAGGGAGTGCGCATTGACGGATTCGTGTGGATTCGTGTGCGAGAGAGCACCATGAACAGCACGTGGTTGTCAGCTGACCCCAGCTGACGTTAATTCGCGCTCCAGCGCGGTAGATGACTTTCGCGCGCTCTCAGTGACTCGCGGAGACCCGCTGAGGCCAGTTGTCCACGTAAGTCGGCGTGCGCGAGGTCGTCACTGCTCGACGAGCGTCTCCAAATTTTATCTTGGCCACTGTCCACTCCGAGACCTCCACGGTCCGAGCCAATTTTATTAGATACTACCGTAGTAAGTGATCGAGGCCTCTTTTAATTCATACCTCTACTCCTTGATCTTTGACCCTGATATCTCGTCAAAAAACTTACAGCTTCATTATCTGGCAGTGAAGGTGCAAGATATTCCTCTCGGCTTGAAAATTTATTCCAGTATTTTTCGATATCTCGTACTACGGAAGCACGTAAGTATGCCATATTTTTAGTCCATTTGAAGAGACGATTTATATTATGTGGACATTGACCTTTGATGATGCAAGGTCGTTGCAGATTGACACCGGACTTCTTCTTTGCCAGCGGCAGCTTTATTATCATCTTTTATCCGGGCAAACTTATTCGGTGCAAACGTAGTAAGGATAAGTGAGTATTTTTTTAATTTATGATTTTGTTCTTTAGTCTTTGAACTTGATATCTTGTAACTTAAACTATACATTCAGACCTTCACGACGAGACTGGAAGGTGTTCTTTCCTGGATTAAAATGTCATACAGGTTTCTTTGAATTATTTGTAGCAACGGAAAGAAATAAGTAAATGGATCATTTAAATTTGTCATACTTTTACAGGTTTAGTGACACTTAAGCAATAGTTATTATACAGACATTGACCTTCAATGTTACAAGGTCATTGCTGTAAAGATGACTCCAGAGTTTTGCTTGGCCACAGTTCATTTTAATATTTATGTGCTTCCGGCGGCTTTATTGGGCAGGATTGCAGCCTGTGACAGAAACATGGTTTATACAGTGACTTTGATTAGCAGCATCTGATGTCGCTATCTGTTTGGTTAACCGATATGTTCAGTTACTGACAGTGACAATTCATAATTTTTCTATCTAAAAATATTACACTGACAATTTTGCATTCTTTATTGTATTATAGAGGATGGTTTCTTGTGATGTGCAATTTTTTAATGAAAATTAACAGGGCATTGACTTTTATTCTTGCAAGGTTATTAACAAGTGTCCCAAGACTTTATACAATATCGAACACATGTTTAACCCTATATTTAAATTTTATTCAATTGATAGAATTGTAACTAATTTATTTAAAGTATTGGCTATAGGTTTTAATGTATGAGTTTAACTTCTAATCACGTTATCCATTTTAACGACTTTTTTTAAGCTTCTTTGTTTATATACTATTTATATTTAATTACTATATTACATCCTATAAACGATACCGTTCATTCCTTACTGTTTCGAATCTTTCATGTGCCCGTTGTCTGTTCAGGATCATCAGTGGCTGATGAATTACTCCGAAGTTCCTCTTTGTCCCTGTCCATATTGAAATTTCCTATCTACACTTAATTGACCCAATTACATGCAATTACGGTGAGTGTGCATATGGATATTAGAGACCAGCCTTGCATAAATACATATCCATAGAATAAATCTACACGTTCATGCATAAACTTATAAATTTAATCCCATGTTAGTGACAAACTCATCATTTGGCCAGTATCATAGGATCGGTCTACTGGAAAACATGAAGTGAGGCTTATTTTCCTTCGCAAACCAGTAATGATCTATTTTATTAATGAAATTACCAAAATTTACATTAGTGTAAATCTGAACGAGTTTCTCGCTCAATTGTATTTGGCTCGAAACTCTATTGAGTTTCTTGGATGCTAAGGAACGTAATGGGAAAGGATCCCTTAAATCAACTCGTCATTAATTTAAATAATGTTAAGCCATATTAAAACTCAAACTCCCTCGTCCTTGCTGATATTTCATTTGTGCTGAAAGTTTCCTGTGTTTGAACCTCGTTCTATTTGCTAAATTATAATTAATTACAGTAAACGAGTGTGCTATTAATAGTGACAACACTGCTCCGTTTTAGAATGTGCTCGCCGATTGTGGAACTGAAAACCTTGAAACTGTTAAACATATTTAGAGCTCTGCTAGTGTACTCTTTTTACGACATATCTGCTGAATACATTATAAACGTTTTGAAAGTATTTAAAATGAAAGTCACACGTTCTGTTCCCATAATGAAATAGCGGAACGAAAATATAAAAATTTCTTGTGTTTTTTCATACCAAGTGAAGTGTCCGTTAATAGTCGTGATGTAAAAGAAATGTATTTTTATTATATGTGCATAAATTAAAAAATATAATTTCTATATATGTTTATAAACTATTGAAAATAAATATGTCATTGAGATTGTCAACAAATATTTCAGATATCTTCGAGTGAAATCTACAAGAAATCTTAAACGATCTGTCGCTTGAGATATTTAGCAAAGATTACAAAGAAATATTTATAAATTATTCTGTGCTACTAGGGTTCTGCCATCTCATTCTAAGATCTTCCATGCTCATTGTAGGCATGAATTCATCTTCGTGTTTCCTGTCAACATTCCCCCACATCTGACACCGATCCTGTTCATGCAATTTAACAATGAGGGGACTTTATATAAAGTGATAGGTGTTCATTAATCCTATTAGGCTGAAGCGTAAGTTCATGCAGTTTTTTTTTTTTATAATTTACACCAAAAACCATAACTTCCCTAGTAGCACAAAATATTTGTCCTACATTTTCTATATATTTAACGAATATCGTACATTTTCTAAATATTTCCCAGACATTTGAAATATTTGCAAAACGTTTACTTTAGAATATTATCCCTATAATATTTACATAATATTAGCTCCATGTGTTTTCATAATATTTTTCTACCAGATATACAAAACATTTCGTTTCATTTTAATACAAGAATTTTTTAAATATTATCTGCCGAATACATTATAAACGTTTTAAAAATATTTAAAATGAAAGTCACACGTTCTGCTCCCATAATGAAATAGCGGAACGAAAATATAAAAATTTCTTGTGTTTTTTCATACCAAGTGAAGTGTCCGTTAATAGTCGTGATGTAAAAGAAATGTATTTTTATTATGTTAATAAGTTAAAAAATATTTCCGTATATGTTTATAAATTATTGAAACTAAATATGTCATTGAGATTTTCAACAAATATTTCAGATATCTTCGAATGAAATCTACAAGAAATTTTAAAAAATCTGTCGCTTAAGATATTTAGCAAAGATTACAAAGAAATATTTATAAATTATTCTATGCTACTAGGGTTCTGCCATTTCATTCTAAGATCTTCCATGCTCATTGTAGGCATGAATTCATTTTCGTGTTTCCTGTCAACATTCCCCCTCATCTGACACCGGTCCTGTTCGTGCAATTTAACAGTGAGGGGATTTTATATAAAGACCCACATAGCACTCTAATATAATTGTTAGGTAAATATTACATTTTCGAAGCTAAGGTGTTATGTAGCATAAAAGTAACATCGAAGTTAGATATTTATTATTATTATTTCTCACTCAATAAGGTAACATCTTATGTAACATGTTATATTAATATTATGAGTTCAGTTACCTTAAAATAATATTAATTTTTCAAACATTTAATAAAAAAAAACAAATGCAATGTTTTATTTTGTATTATTTCGTAACACTTGGCAATAATTAGGTATTATATAATAAATCAGACTGTAAATGAAATTATGTGAATCATAAACTATCTGATTTTAAATAAAAACAATGATTTCATTTGACTAGCAAACAATTACTAATAAAGTGTATGCGCATGCGAATTACAGTCATATTTTTTTCATATGAGTAGTAATCAAAATATGACATGTATTAATCTTATGACATTTGACGATGAATTATGACAATGACGATGACAATGGTGTAATAAAATAGATGACAGTTAGTACCAATGTAGTTCTCTTTTGTTACAAATATGTGCTGCATATACACAGTAATATCAGGACAGTAACATAATGTAAGATGAGAGTAACAAATGTTATGAAACTTGTTAGCTCCATGTTACATAACCGTTAAGTTCCTGCATTGTAACAAATGTCATGTAACTAGTTAGCTCTATATTACGTAACTGTTAGGTTATTACATTGTAACAAACGTTATGTTATTTGTTAGTTTTAAGTTACGTAACTGTTAGTTTTGTTGTTCAGTGGGTCTACGTCGAAACTGCATAGACTTGGGTCTCGATCGAATACATATTTTTATCCCATCTGGCAGAATTTAATTTTTCATTTGCAACGTTTACAGGGGTCCACTGACATTGCCACGCACTTCGAGCCAATCTCCCTGAAATTTCTTGCCAAGGATTGTTTTATACAATAAACCGTAATAATGAGTAATGGAAACAGCAAGAAACTCTCTCGCTGGTACTTCGGAGGCCTCGCATCAGCTGGAGCCGCTTGTGTCACTCATCCTCTGGATTTGCTGAAGGTACCGACGCTGCAAATATTGATCTCCATTATCAGCACCTTTCTCTCTGTGCATCGTTATTCTTCATTGTGACATAATACAAGGCTTATCTAATCATCGCTCTTCTAGGTGCACTTGCAAACTCAGCAGGAGGGAAAGCTGTCCATCACGAAGCTCACGATACAGATTATTCGGAAGCAAGGCATCATGGCGCTGTACAGCGGGCTTACTGCCTCTTTATTGCGACAACTGACTTACTCCACCACGCGGTTTGGACTTTACGAGGTAACACCGCTTCGGCGGTACGTACCGTCGAGAAGTATGAACTTTTGGCGTTGATGCTGAAGAAATCCTGTTGAAATATCAATCTTAAGATGATATGAAAGACGCTGAGAAATTTATTCGACGTCGATAAAATATAATTTATCTATACTCTATTTGGTGGTAATGCCGTTTTGAATATTGAAGAGGTAACATAACCTGGCGCGTCCCGTTACCGACATTTATATTTATGATGAAGTCTTTCACAATCTATGCTCAGAGAGTCATGTTCAGAATTATACGAACTGAAGCGTTGCATTTGTCAGTTCAGTAAAGCAATGATAAAAAGATCGATGCAAAACTGTCCAAATCCCGTGAATTCGTGACTGTTTGTGTTTTGACGGACTAACGTCGCCATCTGTGACGTTTAGCTGTAACTAAATTTTGGCTCTAAAAACACGTGTTGGCCACGAGACAAGCCAGCGTTCTCTTGCAATCGTTGGTGAAAGTATTTTCCATATTTTCCCATCTGACTCTGTAATATTCCATTTCTACGGTATTCTAAATTGTTCGACCTAGGTCCTGAAACTCTTCATTTTCGATTCTAAGCCTTCAATAAGCGTAAAACATCGAAAACGTGAACGGACCAGCCATGTTGGTTCTAGTCCATGATAAATAAATACATTTTTTATGAAAAATGAAATTTCATGAGTTTTAGGACCTACCTTAAGGCCTCTGTATTCACGTGGTTAAATTTGAAACGAATCGGTACACCCAATTCGGAGAATACTTTCCCCAACGGTTTGACTTCTCAGATATATATAGGCTGGCTCTTTCATATCACCTTAATTTTGTTTATATCGGAGAAATACATTCAGATGATATGAAAGTTGGCGTCGGAGGAATCTCGTTTATGATACTTCTCTCAACTGGGTGTACCGAATCGTTTCAAATTTTACAACGTGAATATCGAGACCCTAGGAAAGATTTTCACTTCTATAAACTTTAATTGTTTAAAAGTATACGTGTAAACTTTAATTTTTTATCAAAATGAAATTCCATGGGTGTCGGGACCGTCCTTATGGCCTCCATATTCTTGTGGTTAAATTTCAGACAATTTGGTACACCCAGTTCATAGAAAAGTATCGTATTCGATTTTCCCCTCATGTCACTTTCATATCATCTTAATTATTTCTCTCAGGATTGCAAGTTTCAATATTGAATTGCATTTAATTTAGGATGAGCAAGAATGACTGTTGTTATTTATTTATCAGAGGGCTACGTAATGATAGTTGTACAGTGCGGTACTATACTTTCAACAATATTGTTACTCTTCTGTCTTATATGTAATTAAAGCTTAAATTTTAACAATATTATTCATGATTCATGCAATGATCACAAACATTTTATGGCGAACAAACTGCACGATTGTTATGTAAGCTGTGCTGTTATAACGTAATGACAAAGCTGTACAATTGTAACGTAACATGAAACCGCACCTGATACCTAGCCTGCATTGTTATAACGAAATGACAAAGCTGTACAATTGTAACATAATGCATAACTGTACAGTTGTTATGTAACATGAATTGTTATAACGTAATGATAAGGCTGCAGAATTGCAACTCAATGACAAATCTATACCATTGGCATGTAATGGCAACGCATCATGTTTTCCCTATGTATTTCAGGTTGGAAAACAAGTATTAGAAACTCCAGGAAAGACCTTGCCCTTCTATTACATGTTAGTATTGGCCGGAGTATCAGGAGCTGCAGGTGGAGTAGTTGGAACCCCAGCAGACCTTATCAACGTGCGAATGCAGAATGACATTAAACTTCCTAAAGAATCACGAAGAAAGTAAGAATATTAATCTACTAATAGGTTTAAAGGAACTTATCAGGAAAATATTTGCCGGAGTGAAAGCTAACTAAATAATTTATTAATGTTAAAGTTAATCTTAAGGGCGCTCACCACTCTAGCGATTTTGCAGGACCTCACGGGGACAACGATTCCGAACGTATTTCTAAACCGATCGAGCTCAACGAGTGCTCATATCTAAGATGAAACGTTGGCCTGTGTTTATATGGGAGCGATTTTCGATAAGTGGTCATTTTCATATAAAAAAGTGCAACGACATAATTTCAATGCCCTTTTACCTAGGAAGGAGGTGCTTGATCGAAAATCGCTCCCATATAAACACACGTCAACATTTTATCTTTAAAACGAGCACTCGTTGAGCTCAATCGGTTTAGAAATACGCTCAAAATCGTTGTCCCCGTGGAGCACCTTTTTCGGGATTTTCGAGTTTCTCGCGAGGAATTTGGGCATTCCTTGGCAACCGCTGCCGACTCTAGGCGGAGCGTCCAACTGGCGTGTGCGGGCGGCCGGGGGTCACACGTTCCGGCGCCTAGTCCAGAGGCGTCTAGCCGTTGTTTGAGTCCTATACGTGCAAAATACGCACACATTTTTCGTTCGTTGCTAAACACCGCCCATTATGCGTCGCGTCTCCCTCATCCGAGCGAGAAAGTACGTTTTGGTTACCTCCCACCGAATTCCCATCTAGCGGTGGAAGTCATCGTCCCCACTTTGGTGGTGAACGCCGTTAAAATCCATGATTTTCTGAGCTAATGCCTCCTTGGTTTAATTGAAAAAAACAACTACAATTCCATCGAATGTAGAAGTACATTGCACAACAAATAGAACATTGAGTCAATCACCGATTAACCTTAACCATCAATTGTCGAGTTATTAATGTCAATCGATTTCGAAGAATCGTCGCAACATAGCTTATCCTCTAATAGGCCGATGGCCAACTAAAGCCGAGAAAAGCAGCGACTAAATCTGCAAAATACGCGCAAGACCACCAAATTGAACAGAATAGAAGTCTACAATTACCGAATAATATTTTTCTGCTAAGTCAACCGAATTCTAATCAGGAAATTCAATAGTCTCTTTCACGATATCTTCCTTCGATTATATTTCTATTATTTAACGTATCGAATTCTTTGGCACAGTTACAAACATGCCTTGGATGGACTGCTACGCGTTACAAAAGAAGAAGGATTCATCAAGCTCTTCAATGGATGTTCCACGGCAACCAGCAGGGCAACCTTGATGACCATCGGCCAGCTCAGCTTCTACGATCAGATCAAATTATTGCTTCTACAGACCGGTATTTTCCACGACAATCCAACGACCCATTTTCTGTCGAGCTTATCAGCGGTAAGTCATTCCAATTGATGCAGATATACCCACACTGCGCGTCACGATTTTAAACAGTGACCTTTTCTCTGAACGAAAACGTAGATGGACTTAAGGTGAAGTGAAACACGTCGAAGAACTTGATCGACGTCGATAAAGAAGATCTTTCTAAATACCTACGTTGGCGATGTTCGTTTTTATATTGACAGCTGTGTAGAATTATATTGGGTATTGCACTAAATGGCATACTCCACTTGTCGTTTTCGTACAATAATTATAAAGAAATCGAAGTAAAACTCCAGAAATCCTCTGGATTCGTGCTTTCTGGGACTCTAATTGACTGCATAGGGACACCCTGCACCATCTGTGATTTCCAGGTCAATTTAATTTTCACTCCGAGACCTCGTATTCCCATCATTTCGGCATAGAAGCGTATAAAACACTTTTTTTGCCTTTATCCCGTTCAAATGCGTGTTTATCGATTACCAGAGTGTTCCAAATTGTCGTAAAATTATCCTGATCCTTTCGTTTCTCATATCAGAGCCTTCGATGATTGTAGATTGATCGAAATATGAGAGCGCGACGCCATTTTGATTCTGGACTGGGCTAAGTTAAAAAATTGTTTCCAAAAATCCAAATTTTGAATGTGTCAGGACAATTCTTACACGATCACGAGTCATGTGCCAAAGTTTCGGACAGTTTGGTCAAATACCCTTAAAAAAAGTGTTGTATTCGAATCGACTGATTTGAAGGGGGTTTCACTTCACCTTAAGCTCTCTTAAGCGGCCCAAGAAAGAACATGTTGTAGGCCCACTCAAACTTAAGACGTTATGCCCCGTACATGCAACATGGCGTGGTCGTGCACGTGTTCGATGTTTTGCGCTTTTTGAAGGCTTAGCTTCGAAAATGAGTTTCAGGACCTAGCTCGAATAATTAAGAATACTTTAGAAATAGAATATTACAGAGTCAGATGAGAAAATATGGAAAATACTTTCACCAACGTATGTAAATGACTGCTGGTTTATCTCGTGGGTAGTGCATGTCTTTAGAGGAAAAAATTAATTGCAACTAGCGTCACAGATGGCGCCGTTGGTCTATTAGAGTGGCAAAAATTATGAAGCCACGGGATTTCGACGGTTTTACATCGATCTCTTTATCATTACTTTACTGAAATGACATATGGAACACTTCAATCCGTATAATTCTGAACATAGACTGTAAAAGACTTCATCGTAAATATAAATGTCGGTAACGGGACGCGCCAGCTTATGTTACCCCTTTAGTATTAAAAACGGCATTACCACCATAAAGGGTATAGATGAATTTTATTTTATCGACGTCGATTAAATTTCTCAGTGCCTTTCGTATCATCTTAAATGAAAACCTCTCCTCTTGAAAATCGAATTTTCTCTTAAAATAATGAAATTTGTTGTTAAATAGGGAGCGATAGCCACGACCCTTACACAGCCTCTGGATGTACTGAAGACGAGGGCGATGAACGCCAAACCAGGGGAATTTAAGGTGAGTCAATTAATTCTTTTGATCTTTTGGATAATAATTGAATTTTCAATAATTAAGTCTACGTTGCACGGTACATTTGGAATTTATGAAATAAGCTCTCCGTGGAATCAGGTCTAAGTAAGTCAGGTATTCAGCAGTTTATAAGTGTCGTGTAAAGTAACAGGGAAGGGACGCGTGAATAAAAAATAAATTTAGCATGGAATGGCGACCCGATTTATATTTATGTAGATGTGTGTATGTACATACACAGTGTAGATTAATTGTAGATTACATTTTTTTTTCTTTTTTTTTTTTCATTAAAAGATGATAGTCTACATAAAATGTAAAAGTGAAGCAAGATTATTCAGAGTTGGACTAGAAAATAGATAAAATATGTAATTGTTTATTTCTCTCCGATGAAAACTGTTAAAGGAGAATTAAATTTATGGGCTTTATTTCGTAGTCTGAAAATATTTTAACGTAACATGTTTTATTTTAAACAATTTATACGTACAGACGGTTTAACTAGTCTGCACGTCGGTCCACTAGAGATTTATAATTTCATTTTGTCTTTTTGCATTATATTAGTCATCCGTACAATGCGTTTATAAGCACTTAGATTAGAAATTAATTAACGGGATTTTACTTATCTAGTTCCGGTAATTGCAACTACTTTTAATCGTTCTATCTTCAAAAATGTAATCACCTTGTCTAGAAAAACTACTTTAATAGTAAAACACAAATGAATTTAGCTCGAAATTCTACCGAGATTTTTGACGTACTTAGGGGATTGAAATAAATTTTCTGTTCTAGTACCTTGTCCCTGAACATTATGTGTAAGAAACTGAGCACTTAGATAAGAACATTCACAGTGTTTTCCCTAAAGTACATAAAAATATATATTAGTAATATTTAGATTATACTGTGTACCTAGACATTCGAATTATATTGACAATCCTTACAATAATTAAATCTCTGCACTACTATGAACACTTAGATGAAACGTAGACGTCCATGCACCTGGTTTTACTTTATCTGTGTACACTAGGAACAATTTATGTTATCGGTAATTTCAATGATCCACGTGTAAAATTAATTCTGTTGTACAATATTATACTAAACATTGTGGATATTTTTATGTCCATGGCGTAAAGACACTAAATGGAACCGAGAATCTATTTCATTTATGTGATTGACAAACGAAATCCTGACAGAGATGTGTCAGTGGACATTTCTTCATTGCGACACATCCTGTAAAGGACACTATTGTTTTTTTTTTTGTTTTGCACATCCTGTTGTTCCTGCGTGATGAAAACCTCCCTTTACAGAGCATGATGCATCTTGTCCTCTACACCGCCAAGATGGGTCCATTGGGCTTCTTTAAGGTGAATTAAATTAATTACAATCATATTCTTTCTTTCTTAAGAATAATTAGTGGTATAGTGCGTACAATGGCGGACATGAATGCTTCCCCTGCAGATACGACATCGCCTGTGCAGGATGGGAGGGCATTGATGTCTCCCAGTGTATATTGTGGACATGAATGCCTCCCCTGCAGGTACGACATCGCCTGTGCAGGATGGGAGGGCATTGATGTCTCCCAGTGTACATAAGCGCCGACTTTGTGAGCGACTTCAGAATTTGCTGAAAGAGGGCTTTGTGTACTTCAATGATTTGTCCTAGTTTTGATACTAAAGTATAGGAAATTGTCGGCATTATCAGAAGTAATTTCGTTTATTAAGAGTGTTGTCAACTTCGGAAGATAACTATGAATTGACTAACTGTTTTTTAACAGTCTCTTAAGGTGAAGTGAAACCCCCTCAAATCAGTCGATTCGAATAAGACACTTTTTTTTTAAGGGTATTCGACCAAACTGCCTGAAACTATGATACATGACTCGCGATCACATAAGAATTAGCCTGATATATTCAAAATTGGGATTTTGTATTAAAAAGAATTTTTTTACTTAGCCTAAACCAGAACTAAATTGGCGCCAACCTCTCATATTTCGATCTATATATAATTATTGATGGCTCTGATATGAGATACGAAAGGGTCAGGATAATTTTACGACAATTTAGAACACTCTGGTAATCGAGAAACTCGGATTTGAACTGAATAAAGGCAAAAAAAGTGTCTTATGCGCTTCTGTGGTAAAACGATGGGAATACGAGGTCTCGGGGAGAAAATTTAATTGACACGGAAATCACAGATGGCGCAGGTGTCCCTCTACAGTCAATTAGAGCCTCAGAAACCATGAATCCCGAGGATTTCTGCAGTTTTACTTAAATATCTTTCTTTGCATTACTGCATTACTTTCTCAGATAGACAAAGTAATGCAACATTTGCACCGAGTTTGCTTCATAAAAGATCATGAAATCAGTCGTGAGGGTCCCAAATGGACAAAGTGTTACAAAATCTCCATCGAATTTGCCTCATTAACAACCTTATGACATTGATATGCCATGTCTAAGATGTCATCAATATTGGTTGAAAAAAAGTTATTCGAATTTAACAAAAGGGTACCCTGTATTACGAAACAATTGTAATATATAATCGATATTATTATTACAGGGCTACGTGCCGGCATTTGTGCGATTAGCACCGCACACGATATTGACGTTCGTCTTCCTGGAACAGCTCAGATCGAATTTTGGAGTGGCCTCCATGACACCGCCATGAGTCTGCACAAAGAAATTCAGGTTTATTTTCTCGAGTACCTACGAAACTCTCGATGGGTCGAGAGTTTTCTCTTATTATTTTCTTCGTGCACGGGTCGCGGAGAGCGGGGACAATTTTTGGTGTAAACTAGTCTTTTAGAATACTGCGGGACAGGTGTAACGAGTCGTTAATGATCACATGATTATGTGACTACCTACTGACAGGTATAGCGAGACGTTAACGATTCCTAAATGTTTTGTCACGGTTAATAGGTAAAACAAAGTGTTAATTTTTTGCCAGATATATGAAAGAGGTGAACGGTTGTAAAGAACTGTTAACGATTGCACATGTATATAGTTAACGATTTATGGATTGATACGGGTCGTTAATGATTCATGGGTACAACAGTCGTTGATGATTCATGGGTACAGCGGACCTTAACGATTTGTGGATTAACGAGTCGTTAAGCATTCAAGAGTACAGAGGTTAACGTTTCATAGATATAACGAGTCGTTGACGATTCATGGGTACAGCAGACGTTAACGATTTATGAATATAATGAGTCGTTGATGATTCATTAGTACAGCAGACGTTAACGATTTGTGGATTAACGAGTCGTTAATTATTCGTGGATATAACGAGTCGTTAAGCATTCATGGGTACAACAGACGTTAACGTTTCATAGATATAACGAGTCGTTGACGATTTATGGGTACAGCAGACGTTAACGATTCGTGGATATAACGAGTCGTTAAGCATTCATGGGTACAACAGACGTTAATCATTAGTGGATGTAACGAGTCGTTGACGATTCATGGGTACAACAGATGTTAATCATTAATGGATGTAACCAGTCGTTGACGATTCATGGGTACAACAGACGTTAATCATTAGTGGCTGTAACGAGTCGTTAAGTATTCATGGGTACAATAAACGTTAACGTTTCATAGATATAACGAGTCGTTGACGATTTATGGGTACAGCAGACGTTAACAATTCGTGGATTAACGAGTCGTTAATCAGTCGTGGATATAACGAGTCGTTAAGCATTCATGGGTACAACAGACGTTGATCATTCATGGGTACAACAGACGTTAACGTTTCATAGATATAACGAGTCGTTGACAATTCATGTGTATATCGAGTGGTTAACAATTTCTAAAATGTTTAGTGTTGGTTAACAAGTGTAACAAAATTTTAACTATGCAAGTATATAAGAAAGACGAGCATATGAAAAGAGTCGTTAACGATTCATGGATATAACGAGTCATTGACAATTCATGTATATATAGAGTCGTTGACAATTCATGTATATATCAAGTCGTTAACGATTCCTTTAATGTTTAGTGTCGGTTGACTTGTACAACAAATTGTTATGTATGCAAAAATATTGGAAAGATGAGCAGGTGCAAAGAGTCATGAACAAATTGTGTAATTACTCAAGTATGCTGTTAACGATTAAACAGGTGTAAATAGGTGTCAAACGAGTCGTTAACCATTCCATTAGTATATAGGAGAAATTGGGCAACAACTTGTAATCGAGTATATAAATGTATGGGTAAAATTTTTAAGTGTAACGAGTCATTAACGATTATATAAGTATGTGGTTGACTTTACCCAGGTTTATTGTTAAGACAAGGGTCAAACGAGTCGTTAACGGTTATCTAAGTGCATGAGGAAGGTCGAATGTAATGAATCGTTAACGATTACCCTACTAACGATACATTAACGATTCGCAGATGTAACGAGACTTTAATTATTTATAAATCTAATAAACCGTTCGAAAATATATAACAAATACAGGTATAACGAGTCGTTGCGAATTGATGGTTAATAATTGAGAAGTACAAGTGTCTAACAATTTTGGAGGATATATAATCGGAATTGACAGTCATTACAAGTCGTTAATGATTGCACAAATCGGTTGTCATAACGAATTGTTAATGCTTGCATTGTGATACGTTAACAATTGGCAAACGTAACCTGATTAATGATTCTGTATGCAATAACAATTAACGTATGTTATGAATCACGAACAGTTGCACAAGTATATTGTTCAAATCGACAAGTGTAACAAATCGTTAACGATTGTACAAGGTCGAGACATTCCAGGAATTGAGTATTGAAGGAGAATAAAGTCGTGTAATACAATGGCGGACATGAATGCCTCTCCTGCAGATACGGCATCGCCTGTGCAGGATGGGAGGGCATTGATGTCTCCCAATGTACAAGTACTCTTGTATCTCGTATGCACGGATTTAGAATTAATCTCTGCTTGAAATATCCATACGTTTCCTACTTCGATGCAATATAAATGCAATGTTAAAATGATACAAGTATAAATGTAAAGATGCATGTAAATCGTATGTTCCTGCACATTGTTTCAACGTACATCGAACTAATAGAATATGATCGTACGTGTCTGGTACATGTACATTAAAATATATGATGGCGATAAGAATATAGTCTTACATTTTCGTTAATAGGATGATTAAAGACAAATACTTTTTCTACATTATTTATGAATATAGAAGTGACAAGCCTAATTTACAGAGGAGTAGTAAATGCTTGCATGAAATTTCTTGCATGTTGTTACAGATGTATGTTTTGTTGTACGTGGTAGGGAAACCGCGAAGAACAATTATATCGCATTGCATAAATTGTAAACAAATTTATAATAATTATATTGCCTTGGCTAAATTGCAAAAAAAAACGTTTAAAATAACTATGCAGGGTGTCCCGTTTCAACTGATTCATTCGAATATCTTATAAACAAAGGATTTAATTGAAGAAGATTTTGTATATATGTTACATGATTCCAAAAGAGAAACGTAGAAAAAATATGAAGGAAAATGTATTTACAAAGATGACGTTACAGCAAACAATGCTTGTTTTTTTTTTTTAATGAAATCATATTTTTGTTCTTTTTTTTAAATGTCTTGTTTTAATACCTGCATTTTTTATAGGAACCATTTCTCGACTAACTCAAAGGTTAAATTTGCGTGCGTGCAAATTCAAATGTTTAATTTATAAAATTAGTGGATCCAACAAGGCTGGCATTGTCATCCAAAAAATGTCTCAGTGGTGCCGAAAAAAAGATATGGATAACATACAACTGACAACACATATAATTGATCGCCATTTCCAAATTCGAAAATGTTTTCCGTAGAAATAATTAGTTTTTCAAAACGAAATCAACGTTCCCCGAATCATCCCTCTATGACAATTAAATATTAAAATTTGAGGAAATAATATTAACCTCTGAGTTAATCGAGAAAGGAGAATTTGGATAAAAAAGAAAAAAGTATACAATTCCACTGTAAAAAAAAAACAAGAGTTGCTTGCTCTAACATCACTATTGTAAATACTACGTTTCCCTTCATAATTTTCCATTTTTCCTTCTCGAAATCATGCAATTTTTATGCGAAGCTTTTTTTATATTAAGTGGTATATATTACATATTATTTGGTTCGCAAGAATTTTGAATGAATTATTTAAAGGACACCCTGAACAAAAAGTGCAAATTCATTGTATGTTTGTTTTGTTATACACTCAACTAGTATAACAAGAATGTTCGTGTCTGATATATAAACTGAATGTAACATAAAATTACATTCAAGAGTATTACGTCTTCATGTGCAAGATAATAATTACATCTTCTCTATGTACTCCTTGTGTGAAAAATGATTCTAAAAAACCAATTTAAAAATAAAATACACATTATCTCCTAAATGTTATTAACATTGTACTCTGTCGTACATATATGGATTCGATATGACAAAATGTTATGTATATCTTACATAATTCGAGATAAAGTCGTGTTATAAAAACAATTACTGGAAAGAAACTAGTATTTCATCTACGAACGCAAAGAATGCTGTAATTGTTACATATTGTTGCACTTGTAAGTTATGTTGCACATTGAAGTAGTACGATAAAATTATACATGTTCGATGGATATTGAAATCAAAAGGATTTAAATTATAAACAATTGTACACTGAATGAACGTAACTCGTCGTCTGTTGTCTATTGTCTATTTTGTTGTACTCTAAACTAGTACGACAAAAGTATTTCTGTCCGATACGTAGTATTGGTACTTGATAGAGTCACGGTATGAATACAGTTACTGATAACAAATTCTCCTTTTTAATCTATGTGTAGTTAAAGTGCACGTAATTGTATGCCATTAGACATGAAATAATTATAATAATATTGTACATGTTTCATAGATGTTGAAATTGAAAAAAGGGCTGCAAGTAACTATTTCTAGTATATAGCCCACTTTATATCGCTATACGTTGTCTGATTTGTAGTACTTTAAATTAATACAACAATATTGCATGTGCCTAATGTAAAATCGATACTTCATGAAGTTACGATAAGTGAATAATCAATGACTCCGGGGTCTGTTTTAACAAAGATCGATTGATTACAATTGCTTCTTTTGGTTAGATTCTTTATAAAGAATAATATCGAAAAACTGGCTTCTAAATAATTATAGAATGCAACTTATTTATTTTACATTACCCCGTACGTGGCACTGATGCTACAAAATTTTACATCTATGATAAGTAATGTTATATATGATAATGTTATTGAAAAATAATAGCATTATATGACGAAGTACCAGTCGAAAGATAAGCAATTCTACAACTCTACTTTTACCATGTATAGGATGATTCAAGATTACCATTTCCTTCACATCTTTCTCCATAAAAAAAAATGAAAGTTAAAGGACTATCTTACAATCATTACGTGGGATCAATTTTCCGAGACGTTTAAAACTGTACAATTGACCAAACAATGGGTAAACCACGAGAAAATGTGTACGAAGTCGCTGAAAACTGTTCACTTCCCTACTTTAAAGCTCCCTTAAGATGTATGCAAGATGTAATTTCCTTTTCTTTGGAATTAATCGCTTCCGCATTCCCCATTGTTATATAATTTAAACAAATGTATTAACAATATCCGTGCACACGATACAAGAGGATTGCGTTACGCGGGAAAATACACTTAAGTTCGAGTACACTGGGAGACATCGATGCCCTCCCATTCTGCATAGGCGATGTCGTATCTGCAGGGGAGGCATTCATGTCCGCCATTGTACATTGGTCTTACAGTGTTCTACAGGGCCATTCAAGAATGCTGAACTTCCTCCGAGCAGAACAATTGACTTGAGAATTTCCTTCCAGAATGCAAATTTTGATAGGCCCTGTATACTAGCGTACTTATGTCATCTCGTTACCTTATAGCGGACTGACTTCGTTTCGCTTTCCTTCGAGCGAACGATATGCTATCGCGTATCCAATTTATTCGCCGATGGCGAACTTGCATTTAATTATATTTAATTCGTGCACAAAATTCATTTCGTTCGAAATTCTTTTCTTTCGTCGAAATTAGTTTAGGGATTTTCTTGAAATATGTAATACTCCTGTACGGTTTAAGGTGATGTGAAAGTGGTCTCTGAGGCGTTCAATTATTCACACAATTTTTTTTCCATACCGAATATACTGAATTGTTTGAAACTTTACCACGTAAATACAGAGGCCCTAGGAAAGGTCCTGAGACCCTTGAAATTTTATTTCTTTAACAAAATGTTTTATTTATTCCTGACTGAAACCAAGATGTTATGGACAGCAGATATTTGGAATATTTTAACGTAATAAAGGCAAAAACGTATTTCCGGAATGTCCATGCAAAAATAAGAAAAATTTCCATAATTGATCGAAATATCAGAACTTGATGCCAGTTTGATTCTAGTCTAGGTTAAGTCAAAACCTTTTTTCAAATATTCAAATTTTCAAAGTGTCAGGATAATTTTTGCATGCTCACCAATCATGTGCCAATATCAGACAATTCGATGCAATAACTTTTAGAAAAGTTTCTTATTCGAATTGACTGATTTGAGGAGGATTTCACTTCACCTTAACGAGCCTGAGAACGAAACGAAGACGTAATACCTTTTGAGTACTTTCTGCCTGGTACTTTTGAGGCATTTTATGAACATTTATATATTTCATGCTGGAATCATTGTGATTGGCGGAAATTTTAAACATTTGTATCATAATTTTATTGTTATACAACTAATTACAGTGCTGTAATTACTCATGCACGTAATAAATTCATTTAATTCTACTTTTAAGATTATGTACAATGGCGGACATGAATGCCTCCCCTGCAGATACGGCATCGCCTGTGCAGGATGAGAGGGCATCGATGTCTCTCAGTGTACAATGGCGGACATGAATGCCTCCCCTGCAGATACGGCATCGCCTGTGCATGATGGGAGGGCATTGATGTCTCCCAGTGTACGATGGCATCGTCTATTGCGAAAGACTAGATGATAGGGACACATATACAATACTGTCTAGACCTCTTAGCCATTTTATTAGATCATTTCAAAAGTTCCGTCGGTTTTCAAGATAAACATTTAAGTAACACATCATAAGTAAAGGACTGAAAATTAGAAAAAGAAGATGGAAGAAAAGAAATTTAGAAGAAGGAGAAAGATAAAGGATAGGCAAAATAAGACAAAACTTTTGGAGTGATCTATAATATAATGCTGGAACTGGATGAATATTATTTTAAATATAAATGGCATACTCACGTGATAAGTTATATACTCGCAATGATGTAAAATATTACCGACTGCGCATGAACAGATTTTCTTGGCGCATGCGCAAAGCTGCTAGTACACTTAACTATTTTACCTCGTTTCGGGTTAAAATTCTTTCAGACAGCTACATAATAATACAGGAGTATTATATATCGACGTGATTTTAACTATTGCGACGCACAATTTTCTCTTATATATATTTTCGCCAAATAATAGAATAAGCACCTTGTTAAGAAATTTCCGGATCCGCTGCTTTTGACTTGAGCATACTTTGAACGGGCTAAGAGAATTAATCCCCGTCCGTCCGATAATTGTGACCTCAGTAAAACCCTGTTAAAAGAAAGAAAAAAAAGAAACTGAACAGATTTTATTGTAACGTTTGTAAGCGTTTTGACAATTTATACGCGTCGTTACCTCGGCCTATGCATGGATTGTGTAGCGTCGTGAGATGATAATTTAATGGCGAGAAATGTGTTACTGCGGGATCTATTCTTTGGAACGGCTATGATATTGGCGAGCAGATTATACGTACATGTAATGGAGATAATAAATATTTTTGTGGTGTACTGTAATGCCGTCGGTCTAGAGTCACTTATTGTTAGAAATGCATACATGAGAGTTTGAGAACTGCATGGCGTCGAAATACGCCGTGGGAAGAGATCCCGACGAAGTCGGGTGACTATGGGAAAGAACCGTTGAGCCCGGCGCCACGGAATCAGAAACCCTCATCCCTACGGGATAACTTCATGAACTTAGAACAGTCAGTCCTATTCCGAACTCCGAGCCCGTCGGACCCTACGGTTAGGGACCATTGCTAATAGCAATGCTATTTATTTGAATTATGTAAAGACGGAGCTTCCATTCCCAAATTGAAAGGTCCAGCTTCGCAACTTATCGGGTTTGTTTCCTTTTCACTTTCACTTAAATTATTGCTAATAGCAATGGTCCCTAACTTCCAGATACAACGATAACAGAACATGCAGAGCTTTCAGTCTCTTATTTTCATGAACCGGGATGTCCAGCAACGTGCAAACAGTGTCCACCAGCTGTGACACGTCACAATCCAAGTTGGAACGAACTTGTGTAACCCAATATTACATGTAACAACGTATTATACGTTTCCGTATCGCCACCGATAGTCCCTAACTTCCAGATACAACGAGAACAGAACGTGTAGAGTTTCCACTCTTATTTTCATGAACTGGGATGACCAGCAACGTGCAAACAATGTCCACCAGCTGTGACACGTCACCATCCAAATTGGAATGGGCTTGTATAACCCAATATTACATGTTCAACATTCCGTATCGCCACCGATGGTCCCTAACTTCCAGATACAACGAGAACAGAACATGCAGAGCTTCCAGTCTCTTATTTTCATGAATTGGGATGACCAGCAACGTACAATGTCCATCAGCTGTGATACGTCACAATTCAATTTGGAACGAACTTGTATAACCCAATATTACATGTTCAACATCCCGTATCGCTACCGATGGTCCCTAACTTCCAGATACAACGAGAACAGAACGTGTAGAGCCTCTAGTCTCTTATTTTCATGAACTGGGATGTCCAGCAACGTGCAAACAATGTCCGCCAGCTGTGACACGTCACAATCCAACTTGGACAAGTCAAGATTCATGTCAGTCAATTTCTGCTCCAGCTCGAAGGGCCAATGCTGCATCAGTGCATCGATATCTGGAGTTGGTGCCGTCAACTGGACCGATGGTGCATGTTTACTCCCCCGCAGTTGGTTCATGTCCTCTATCCATTTGTCTACAGACTTCCCATTCTTCTCTGCGTTCTCTACCCTCTTGATAACACTCTGCTTTTCCAGGCCGGCGCTTTTGCTGCGACTTCTCAGAAGCAAGTACAGAACTGCTGGCTCCGACTGATCCGTACATGGTTCATCCAGCACTGTTAAGCCTACTTTATCAGCTTTTCCATCTGGTCTGGGCACTTTCAAGAATGCGTCGATGTCTCCAACTGCTGGAATGTAGTCGGGAATGAACGGCGCCAGCTTGAAGTTCAACTCGATTTTTTGGGGAGTATATCTGAAATTAATTAAAATCAAATAGTCCAATTAAACTGCCTTGAAAGTGGTGGCTGAGGGCCATCTCGCTGATCAAACTTTTCTTGGGACTTTATATACCAAATTGTTTGAAATTTGACTGCGTGAATATGAATATGTCTAGCCGTTGTTTGAGTCCTATACGTGCAAAATACGCACACATTTTTCGCTCGTTGCTAAACACCGCCCATTATGCGTCGCGTCTCCCTCATCCGAACGAGAAAGTACGTTTTGGTTACCTCCCACCGAATTCGATGCTAATGCCATCTAGCGGTGGAAATCATCGTCCCCACTTTGGTGGTGAACGCCGTTAAGGTGAAGTGAAACCCCCTTCAAATCAGTCGATTCGAATACAACACTTTTTTTTAAGGGTATTAGACCAAACTGTCCGAAACTTTGACACATCACTCCTGATCATCTAAGAATTGTCCTGACACATTTAAAATTTTGATTTTTGCATACAATTTTTTAACTTAGCCCAGACCAGAACTAAAATGGCATCGAGCTCTCACATTTCAATCAATATACAATTATCGAAGGCTCTGATATGAGAAACGAAAGGGTCAGGACAGTTTTACGACAATTTAGAACACTCTGGTAATTGATAAACTCGCATTTGAACGGGATAAAGGATTTCTTCAGATATTTAGAAAACATTATCATACTAAATTAAATACATCCTATAACAGTTGCATCGCGCGCCAAATACATCCCAACACTATGCCGAGAAAATTATATACGTACTTCCGTGTACTCTATCTTTCTTCAAATACCGCGACAAATTCCAAAACTCTCCTCCAGGTGGAGTATGCCATTTGGTACAATACCCAAAATAATTCGACACAGCTGTCGATATAAAAACGAACGTCGACAACGTAGGCATTTAGAAAAATCTTCTTTATCGACGTCGATCAAGTTCCTCGACGTGTTTCACTTCACCTTAAGTGCTCATGATTCACGTGCTAAAATTTCAGATAGCTGCAATACTCTTGAAAAATAGTGTCTTATTTAAATTGACTGGTTTGAAGCAGATTTCACTTCACTTTAATCTGCCTAGTTAACACGATTGACGATTTTTTGTACAGATTGTAATTTTTATGAATTCTTTTTCATTTTTTTTTTTTTTAATTGCTAGAAATTGTATAAAGGGATTTCGTTGCATTTTTGTTATTCACGGAGATAGTCTGCAGAATTGAAGTACCTTGTAATGTTTTGGAAGAGCTCTTTCACCTCAGCTGATGCCTGGATGTCGTCAAACTGTTTCGGATCATAGTATTCTATAGTTCTTGCTAAATTAGTTCCCCGGATGTCGTCCTCGTCCGTTTCTTCACTGTCCGATGGATCGTCTAAAAGAGTCATGGATTTTCTGAAAGGCTCGATGCGGTCATCATCTCTTTCTGCATATCTACAAACGTGCAATATTGCGGATAAAATTGAATTAATTCTCTCATCTCTGCACTTTCTGAATCTGAGCATCGTCGAAATAATAATAATACAAATACATTTCTTTCACATCACGACCATTATCGGACACTTCATTTGGTATCAAAAACCACGAGAAATTTTTCCAATATTTTCATTCCGCTATTTCATTATGGGAGCAGAACGTGTGATTATGATTTTAAATACTTTTAAAACGTTTATAATGTATTCGGCAGATAATATTTAAAAAATACTNTATTTTGTGCTACTAGAGTAGGGTTCCCTCACCTACTGCGCGCACTTTTCCTGCGGCTCGAATCGATCCCAATTTCTCTGGAACTCTCATCGGGACTTTTGGATCTATTCCTTGAACCGGGATTATCGAACATACTGATCACAGGACTCTCAATGTCCTCCGCGTTTCTCACCTCGATGCTCTCGTCGAACTTACTGAACGCGGAAATGTGTTGCGTGTCTTCCTCTTCGCTACTGTCCTCCACGTCGTACATTTCCGATCGATGAGGCCTTTACACTGTAATAAAAAGAAATAGTGCCAGTCATTAACATGACTCGCGAAAGTATTATGTCATGACAAATATCGATTATTACATGTTCCGATTAACCTACTGAACGCCAAACCTAACAGTTACGTAACTTAAAACTAACAAATAACATAACGTTTGTTACAATATAATAACCTAACAGTTACGTAACATAGAGCTAACTAGTTACATGCCATTTGTTACAATGCAATAACATAACAGTTATGTAACATGGAGCTAACAGGTTATATAACATTTGTTACTATCGTATCTATATAAATGTAGCATAACTTTGTTACTGACTACCCACTGAACACCAAACTTGACAGTTACGTAACTTAAAACTAACAAATAACATAACGTTTGTTACAATGTAATAACCTAAGAGTTACGTAACATAGAGCTAACTAGTTACATGACATTTGTTACAATGCAGTAACTTAACAGTTATGTAACATGGAGCTAACAGGTTACATAACATTTGTTACTATCGTATCTATATAAATGTAACATAACTTTGTTACTCTCATCTTACATTATGTTACTGTCCTGATATTACTGTGTATATGCGGCACATATTTGTAACAAAACAGAACTACATTGGTGCTAACTGTCATTTATTTTATTATATCATCGTCATCGTCATTGTCATAATTCATCGTCAAATGTCATAAGATTAATATATGTCATATTTTGTTTACTACTCGTATGAAAACATATGACTTTAATTCGTACGCGCATATTCATTATCGGTAATTGTTTGCTAGTCGAATGAAATCATAACAGTCTTTTCCCAGTGTATGTCGATGTAATATTTAGCAGAATATTTCTTCAGATATTTAGAAAACATTATCATACTAAATTAAATACATCCTATAACAGTTGCATCGCGCGCCAAATACATCCCAACACTATGCCGAAAATTATATACGTACTTCCGTGTACTCTATCTTTCTTCAAATACCGCGACAAATTCCAAAACTCTCCTCACCTACTAAATGTCCGTACAATGAAACCGAGCTATTCACCATTCGTTCAAGAACCTAAAACCACATAAAACAAATAAATACGTCCCATAATAAATACATTGAAAGCTTATATACAAGTACCACCAACTTCGGAACTTCATCCACCAAGCGCCATAACAAAGTCCAAGGAAATCTTCATTCACTAAGAGTTAAAATAATTAAACCGAGTAATTCGCCATCTACTCAAAACCTATAAGAACACAGAATAAGTAAATACATCGTATGACAATTACATCTCGCGCCAAATACATCCGTTCACTGCACCGCACACTACATACGCACTTCCAAGAACTCTTCCTTCCCCCAAAGTTGCTGGAATTCTTCACCGAGTAATAACTTCTGTAATTGAATCGCGCCAGCTGGGATCTCGCGTTATATAAGAGTGATTTTAATTAATAGACCCGCGTTAACAATAATGGATGTTTGTATACAGGTCGGCGTTTCCGTGGTTTCGACTCGGCGCGCCTCGAAGCCGCGTCTGCGTTACCGGCGCCCTGGGCAGATCAATAAAGTCGAAGCTGGTCGCACGATAAAGGCACCAAACTGTCGAGGTAGTAGGTTAGGGGCTTGCCACCGACACGAGTAGTCCAATGTGAACGGAAACCTGCTCCGACTGATGGCGAGTGTCAGGACAAGCGATCGTCGCTTTGCTACTTTTCCGCCCGAGCGCAGCAAGGACTCGTAAGTAGGATACTTTAATAATAAGGAGTAAAAGATACCCTTTCATACGATACTAAATGCTCCATTTTGGCGTGAAATCGGTCACGTAACCGAGAAAAAAAACATTCTACTGTTAGTTTGTAGTCATATAAAGGGTTGCAGACTCAGATTTGTGCGGCAAACTCTGAAAAACATACCTAACCTAAATCTCTGATGATACGATCCCACTCGCAGTATCGTATTTGATCCTGCTCCAAAATGATAGGATATGTGCCCATAATTATGAAAGTGGTCTAAGTCATATATTTCTTGTTTCGAAATTACATTGAATTAATTTCGTTTGAAATAATATGGCGTAAAATAACTGATAAACTCATTTTTTTTTTAATTTTGACTTAGACCACTTTCATAATTATGGGCACATATGTCCCTAGTAGCACAAAATATTTCTCCTATATTTTCTATATAATTAACGAATACCGTACATTTTGTAAATATTCACCAGACGTTTGAAATATTTGCAAAANTTCTATTATTATTATACACAAGATGATTATATACAAGATCCAGTTTCGGCGATCGGTTGATCGCCATTTGAATTTCTAGTATTTATGTTAAGGTGAAGTGAAACTCTCCTCAAATCAGTCGATTCAAATAAGACACTTTTTTTAAGAGTATTGGATAGAACCGTCAAACTTAGACGCATGACTCGTGAGTACCTAGGAATTATCCTGACACTTTCAAAATTTGGATTTTTTAAACAACTTTTTTAACAGCTCAGACTAGAATCAAAATTGGCGTCGAGCTCGATATTCAATTATTGAAGGCTCTAATACGAGAAACAAAAATATTAGGACAATTGCACGACATTTTAGAACCTCTGGTAATCGATAAACTCGCATTTGAATGGGATAAAGGTAAAAAAAGTGTCTTACGCGCTGCTATGTTAAAACGATGGTAATATGAGGTCTAGAAATGAAAATTTAGTTGATGTGGAAATCACAGATGGCGCAGGGGGTCACTCTGCAGTTAATTACTCAGGCACCACGGAACGTGGAATGTGGAATGTATATATAATTAAATATATAACTATATATATTGCGTACCATATCCGGACATCTAGCCTTCGAGTGGATCTACAATAGAGTTCATAGATATCTATATATATCTTACATACGTTGAATAAACATTTATATACGATTAATTTACGGATATTCCACGTTCCGCGGTGCCTGGGAATGGGCTTCTATTTTTAAAATCATTAATTGCAATCATTGGAAATTATACGCCTTCATGTGCAAAGAAGAAGACGAAATCGAAACCAAATATTAATTTCAATCCTGCCATGTAATTACAGCATAGTCCATATAGTTCAGTACCACATAGCTTGCTGGGTATATTTCGACCAGACTTTAACCGTATGATGTGAGCCGCTCAGTGCACACATCGACTAACTCCACTTTTTGAAAAATCTTAAATTTAGGTGTCAAAGCACTTGGTATAGTCATAACTTTTTATATTTATAATATCTTTCCTGATTAATAGAGATTAACACCATTAAACGGCAAAATTTTTTTGGGCATTGAATAATAAGTAATTTATTTCAGAAGCCATTTTGATTAACTCCATACTCTAATGTAAATCGTAGACGAATACCTGGCAGTATAGTATTATTGGATTATCTGTTGCGGCCGTACATCGACGCTTTTTTTTTTAAACAGCCGAAGATGCTTTCCCCCTTTCAACAATATGAGTAATAAAATCGCATCAGCAAACAGATAGAAAGAAGCGCAATGCAGACGGTAGTTGGTATAACAGTGATCTCTCACGCTGAATGTTACCGTATACTTCATATTACCGTATATATATTACACGGACTACATATTTTTTGGTCTTTTCAACATTACTCCCTGATTGTTTTTAAAGAACTAAATATTATACCGTTATAATCAAGACGAGTGAAACTAATAAAAATGTGGATGTGGAAAGCAGGGATGATTCTTCAATACGATTTAACAGCAGAAAGTCTGGGGCAAGAAGACGTTTATCGTGTTTCTCGGATTCATCCGATTACAACGGTACAAATTCCCCAACAAACACATCGATTGGGAGGAAAAGAAGTCGTAATCCTGATAAATGGGCACGAAATTTACAAAAGCATAACGGAACAAAAGGTTTGGCATACAGGAATAGGGGAGGAAATTTAATACCTGCAAAAACATTTGTCGATATAAAATGCAGACGATTATTTTTTGGCTATTCTTTCTTATTAATTTAATATACCGTTAGATGAAAACTATAACTGTATTTATGTATTCTACATTATAGATTTGAAGTTATATTATAATAGGAATTTTAAAAAAGAATCTACATTACTTCATCGCATTTCTCAACTTTTTGTTTTATGGAGTTAATCAATGTGTGCACTGAGCGGCTCATGTGATCCCACTGAACACCAAATCTAACAGTTACGTAACTTAAAACTAACAAATAACATAACGTTTGTTACAATGTAATAACCTAACAGTTACGTAACATAGAGCTAACTAGTTACATGCCATTTGTTGCAATGCAGTAACATAACAGTTATGTAACATGGAGGTAACGGGTTACATAACATTTATTACTATCCTATCTATATAAATGTAGCGTAACTTTGTTACTCTCATCTTACATTATGTTACTGCCCCGAAAATTTTGTGCATTTATCTTTGTACTTTCGGACGATTTAAAAACTCGTTATTCTGTCTCAATAGTCACTTCCATTGAAAATGGACGTACTCTCCGAGAGCTGGAAAGAAGCGACCGAGGGCTTCGATGCCGAGGCTTGTGAGAAGTGGTTCGTCAGGCTGCAAGAAGCGTACACCGACGAGAAGCGCACTTATCACAACCTGGATTTACTGCACAAGAAGCTGGAGTACTACCGGGAGATAAAGAGCAACCTGAAGAACCCCGGAGCTTTCCTCCTCGCCCTCTTCTTCCAGAAGTAAGTGCCCAACTGATCGAACTTTTCTCACCCCCGCTGATGGAGCTTAATGGGACTCTCCACTTTGCAGCTTTGACTACAATCCCAGGGCTTTAGACGGAGAAAACAAAAACGTCGAGCGATTCGAGGCCTTCGCCGACGAGGCTGGCGTTCCTGCGGTGAGATTTTCAGTCCCTTTTAATATGTGATATGAAAAGCGCTGAGAAATTTAGGCGACGTCGATAAAATAAAATTCATTTATACCGTTTGTCGTGGTAACGCCATTTTGAATACTCAGATGGTAACATAACCTGACCATGCATATTATCGACATTTGCATTCATGTTGAAATATGTTACACTCTACGTTAAGGTGAAGTGAAACACGTCGAGGAACTTGATTGACGTCGATAAAAGATTTTTCTAAATGCCTACGTTGCCGACGTTCGTTTTTACATTGATAGCTGGGTCGAATTATATTGGGTATTGTACGAAATGGCATACTCCACCTGTCGTTTTCGTATAATAATTATAAAGAAATCGAAGTAAAACTCCAGAAATCCTCTAGATTCATGCTTTCTGGGGCCCTAATTGACTGCAGAGGGACCCCCTGCGCCATCTGTGATTTCCAGGTCGATTAAATTTTCACTCAGAGACCTCGTATTCCCATCGTTTTGGCATAGAAGCGGATACAACACTTTTTTTGCCTTTATCCCGTTCAAATGCGAGTTTATCGATTACCAGAGTGTTCTAAATTGTCGTAAAATTGTCCTGACCCTGTCGATTCTCATATCAGAGCCTTCGATAATTGTATATTGATCGAAATATGAGAGCTCGACGCCATTTTAGTTCTGGTCTGGGCTGAATAAAAAAATTTTGTTAAAAAATCCAAATTTTGAATGTGTCAGGACAATTCTTAGATGATCAGGAGTGATGTGTCAAAGTTTAGGACAGTTTGGGCTAATACCCTTAAAAAAAAGTGTGGTATTCGAATCGACTGATTTGAAGGGGGTTTCACTTCACCTTAAGAATTACCACTACACAGATTTTCTGTAAGTTTAACAAATTTTTCTCTTCTCCGTGTAAGTGAATCGTCTTTTTCTCGTTCTGCACAGGATAATGAAACGCGAACGGACACTTGCGCCCTTCTGGGAGCAGCTGCAACGCACAGCACGGACGCACACAAAGTCGGAGGCGCCTTCGGGGAAGAAGACGCTCACTACCTCCTGGATTTAGACATGGCGGTACTTGGGGCTGCTCCGGACACCTACGATGAGTACAGAGAACGGATACGCAGGGAATATTCCTTCCTCAGCGAGCCCATGTACACTGCACTACGCCTGAAAGTAGGTCTTATGTAACTTCCCATCAAGCACACTATGCTATAGTTACATAACACTGGAAACCCAGGCAACCCATGAAGTGGAATATACGTAAATTAATCATCTAAATTAGGTCTATAGGTATAGCAAATGTATATCGACCATGGAGCGGTATAAAGAGACGTAACGTCTATGGTCGGTTTCACAGAAAGTGGCCCCAGAATCGAAATCCAGCCCGGGCAACCCATGAAGTGGAATATACGTAAATTAATCGTCTAAATTAGGTTTATAGGTATAGCAAATGTATATCGACCATGGAACGGTATAAAGAGACGTAACGTCTATGGTCGGTTTCACGGAAAGTGGCCCCACAATCGAAACCCAGCCCGGGAAACCCATGAAGTGGAATATACGTAAATTAATCGTCTAAATTAGGTCTATAGGTATAGCAAATGGATATCGTCTATCATCCACCTAAAAAAATATCTAAAGGATGTATATGAATATCTATAATATAATATATTGCTAATATGGA